ATAAAACTTTAACCAGTGATTGTTGTTCCATAAAGCTGTGTCTATAAATCCTTTAGATGTTTCAACCTGGTTTCCCCCTGTCAGTGATGCAGAGTTGGAAATCGAAAAAGAGAAGGCTATTGCAGGCTGTCCTGGCAAAGTTTTCCTCATTGCACTCTGCATGGTATTGCCTTTCATCATTAGCCCATGGTGCAGAAAAGTAGGACGTAAATATGTCAATATTTGCTGTGTACATAAAAATAAAATGTCAATTTTACCTATTCAAGATCTTGACTACAATTCAAATTAAATAAACTAGAGAAAAAAAACCAAAACACAAGAGATAATTTTTATTTTATAAAAATTTCACATGATCACTGTAATGATAGAACATGAAAAAGAAATCGCACTGACAAATTTAAGCACATTTGTTAATATAAAAAGAATATATCAGAAGATGTAAACATGTGGTTGACAAAAATACTATTTTATAAAACCTTCAGTCAATACCAGTCTATATTGCTCTTCTTGAGAAATAGAATGGTGCTATATAACCAAAAACTGGCCACTTAAGAAAATAGTCTGGTACTATTTGGATATAATCAACTCTTTTAACTAGAGTCAGGCAAGGATATTCTACATTGCAAGGACAAGTTGATTTGATGGTTTCTAAATAGGTTACACATATTGACAATAACTTTCTGTATGTATTCATTGTTCTTGCAAATACATCAATATCTTTGCATGACCATAGACTTAGAGTTATAGCAATACATGCTAGATGAAAGCATGTTAACAAATTTATACAAATGATAATTACAATGATTTCTCGTTTCCTATTATTTAGACTTTATATAAAGATTGTACAGCAAACTTAGAGATATTTCAAAAAACATAGAATTGTTACCGAATATGGAGGACTTGAGGCTATACACCATCAGTTTTTGAACAATGCAGATCATTATTATTATGTTCAGACTAAAATTGGCTAACATTTATCTATATATATGTACAATGTGTAATTTGCAGCAAATCAACATTAAACAAAAAAATCTTAATCAAAATAATGATGAAAAAATATTTCATTTTGTACTGAATGATATATTAGAAATACATGTAGATGCATTCAATTAGTACACAATAATATAATATAGATTTTGCTATGAGCATATCTTTGGTTTTTTTTAATCTACTTTCAAGTCATTAACTAATGAAAAAATATGATTTGCAAAATATCAAAAACATTTCTAAATAATTTCTTTTAACTCTTGATTTGGTGACATTTTTGGCTAAGAAATGACGTCATTGTTCATTTTAATTATTTTTAACAATTAGACCAAATATTTTTAAAGTAAAATCAATGATGCCTTTTCTAAACCAGGCTAATTACATTTTTCTCATTTACTTTTGAAATTCTCTCATGGGTAACTCCAATATTCATTGGGACATCAGATCTTGATACAGGAAGAAAACATTAACCAGGAGAGGGTTCTCCTTTCAGGTGATATTCAAAGGGGGGATTTAAGTCTTGAATAGTTTTCAGAAGTACTAGAAATGTATGAATATCGCATAATTCCTTTAAAAATACTTCAAACTGTTAATTTCACTCACTATTTCTATGCCTTTTCAATCTATCACAGAATATCTTAAATTGATAAGTTGTTATTTTAACATTCAATCGAAGATAATTCTGGACACACATGGTATTGAAGGCTCAAAATTAAGACAGTGAGCTGTGAACACTATTACTGATTGGCTTAACTAAAAAATTTCTGTTTCTGAGACTAAATTATGAGTGGTCAAAAAAAATGGTGCATCTGTCCATTTAATTTCAATCATTTGAAAGTTAGTGATCATTTAAGAACAAGGGCATTTCAAAATAAACAAGGCAATGATCTGACATTCTGATATACCAATAGAACTATCTGTGATGTACCAATAGAACTATCTGTGATGTACCAATAGAACTATCTGTGACGTGACAATAGCACTATCGGTGATGTACCAATAGACCTATGTGTGATGTACAAATAGAACTATCCGTGATATCAGTATTGGAAGCACAGACAAAATTTGAGATTTCTGATAGTGTTTTTGCTATGATAACTTTAAATTGTAATGTTATGATACCATTAAAAGGATAAAGATGACATTTTAGAAAATTCAAATTCAGCTATGGCACTTGTCAATGATAAATGATGTTCACTGGGTTTAGATTATTATGAGTAAAATGATACCTATATGACCATATAATACAGATGAATATATATATATTTCTATAATATAAGACAACTTATAGGATGATTCAATGAATTCAAATAGCATTTTGAAATATAATATGGCCATGTTGCATTTAACTAGGTAGCCCCTTTTTTGGTTTTGAATTTAGTCCTAATCCTAATGCATTCAAAGATTAAATCTTCAAATCCCAAAATATATACACTGTTACATAGGTGGACCTCAACATCCATTTTCTCTTTTATTGACAGAAGAAACTGATTTTAATATTTCTTTGATTTGGAGGAAGTATATTTCTCTCCTCTTCAATGAAAATTGATCACTCTCCATTCATAATGTCTCAGTCATACACTATCTTCCATCTGATTGTCTTCACTTAGACTATCTCACTGACACAATTATAGTCTTCACCACCAGAGCTAACTATCATTCTTACTGTATTCTCACAATATCACCTCCAATATAACAGTCAGTTCTTTAAGTTCCTAAGTACTGTTTATTAAACATTGAGTTCTGAAAAACTCTAATGAACTTCCTTACTCTCTGGTAAATGATTGCCTGATTCAGCTAATGTACTATGAGTTGTAGTGTGTGGTGTACTATGAGGTACAACAGGATGAGGTTCAACTGTAGTAGAATGAACTCCGATTGAAGCAGCTACAGCCGATGCTGCAGGATTAAAGGCGGCGAAGCCAGCACCATTCATATCAGCTTGAAATGGTGGTTGTGGGAAATTAGCTGGGAATCGAACTCCACCGGCAGCTAAAAGGGAAATAGTAAAAATTAACCATTTTAGTTCATTGGCATGTTAAATGTGACTTTCCAAAGAAATTGACTTGTTGAAATGACTTCAAAAGCCAAACTAACACACACAAAAAAACAAAACAATACAGTAAAGGTATAATATTTGTATTTATGTCAATTAAAGCCCAGGATATACAGATAACAATATTTCCAATAATATAGAGATAATAAATATATACCTGTAAAGTATTCTTTATTCACACAATTTCTCAAACTTTCAGGAATCCGGCCTAATATAGCTCTTCTGATTTCAGCTGCTGCCATTTCACGTAGCTCAGTCACACTTTGATCACTATAAAACGCTGAATGAGGTGTACAAATCATGTTTGGACAGTCTTTTAATGGACCTGCAACACATCAACAAAATATTCCAAAATGTAAAAAATAATTCAGTATAGACCACACAAACAAAGAAAAAAACTTCACTAGATCATTTGTCACCCTTAAGACTACAAGTTTCTTGTCATTGACAATTCTATAAAAATTACTTTCCTTCAATATGCAATAAGTTGCCTATAAATTCAATGAGTGCAATGCTCACAATTTGGCAAAAAATTCTTTTTAAGTGGTAGATATAGGTGATGAGAGGTGTTAGTTTGAATCAATATAAAACAACCCTTTAAACTACAAAAAGACAGATTTCTTGGAAATTACAAACATAAAATGAAACGAAGTCAAAGGGACACCAGAGAGTCCCCTGTAGTAAATGAAATGAGTTTACAATGAATTTGTCAAATTGAAATGAAAAGAAATTGAAAGAAAAACTGCTTATAAAAAAAAATAATAATAAAAAAAATCAAATATTTTTGAAAATAATGATTTAATGTTAATCTTATAGGAAGAGGGGAAATTCTTCTAGTATCCCTTTTCACTCCTTTTAATATAACACCCAATGGGTATTCATACTACAACATATCACCTTCAATGTATGGCAGATTCAAGTTGCACGTACTTGATGCAAGATTGAAAGGTTCATTTTCTAACACATCAATAGCACATGCTCTAATTCGACCATCTTTTAATGCTGAAGCTAAAGCCATTTCATCAACTAGACCACCACGAGCTGTATTAATTAAAAATGCACCTGAAAAATAAATTATAATGATATTGGATACACTATGCATTCATAATTAGATTTAAAGATGGGTTTCCTTATTTTGTTAGTATCAAATCAAGCAAGATATATGTACAGTCTGGATAAATAAAAGATAGTGGACCACAGCCATATACGCCCTACACGGCATGCGGATGGTAAAAACCAAACATCCATTTTAAGTTTCATCAAAATCGGTTGAAAACTAAGAGAGTAATAGCACATTCAAGATTTTTGGGCAAGGGCAATAACTCTGCTTCTAAAGGTCGAAAATAGCTCAAATTCGAACTTGATCTTCGTTTTATGTATATGTATGCACATACCGAATTTCATTTGATTCCTTCAAACTATCTTGTTTTTTAGAGTGTTTACGAGCAATTGATGTTAATAGAAGCACTTACTGTAAAAAGTTAAAGGGCTATAACTCCTCAAAACTGACGTAAGAGGCCTAAATCTTGAAAAAGCCTTAAATTTAATCAGAAGTTAACTAATCTTTCTCAAACATTTCGCTTTAGGTCCAATAGCATCCATCTTAAGTTTCATCAAAATCGGTTGAAAACTAAGAGAGTTATAGCATATTCAAGATTTTAGGGCAAGGGCAATAACTCTGCTTCTAATGGTCAAAAATATTTCAAATTCGAACTTGATCTTCGTTTTATGAATATGTATACACATACCGAATTTCATTTGATTCCATCAAAAAATCTAGTTTTTAGAGCGTTTAAAAGCAAATGTTGACGGACAGGGGTGCCGACAATATACGTCCACATAGAGAGATGTGGGCCTATAAAAAGGGCTTTTTGACCTTTCTTGATCGGTTACTCATTGGAATTCTGCTGGCAATTCTCTTCTAATTTAGCTAATTATGAATTAATTATGGACATGTGAGACAAACTGGTGTTTTACAAAGTCATTAGATCAACTCTGCTGTCTATTTATAATAGTATTAGTATTTTCATTTTCATAAATGAAAATAAGGGAACCCATCTTTAATTCCCGTTCCGATTTACTTAGATGGAAGAAATTCATATGCATAAGTCTATTTATTTGCCAGATGGTTGTGGGCAGCTTATGCTTTGTAAAAAAAAAATGACTTAATTCGGTTTAGACAGAGCTCACAAGGAACAAACTGACATTTAAGTCTCAATGCATATGAAAGTTCAATTAATGAAGTAGATATGAAAAATTTCAATAGCCTAATGTTACATTTTTGGCAGAAAAATTATATCAGTAACAATTGACCCTAGAAATGAATGGATATAAAAATTAACAAGACTAAAAGCTTATTTACCTGGTCTCATCTGTTTAATGGTATAATCATTAATAAGTCGATGGTTATGTTCATTTAGTTTACAATGTAATGATACACAATCACTTTGAAATAACAACTCTTGTAACGTATACACTCTTGTAATACCTGTAAACAAATATTTTATCATTGAAACTTGCATTCAAAATGCTCACCTATTAATAAGTTGTTGTAATAAAAGCATGACATACAAAACATGTATTAAAGATATTGTGACCAACTTGCCAGCAGATTGAGAAATGAAAATATAGTGTAAAAGAAGCAAGCAGTTATGACACGATGGTTGTGGGTCAATATTGATAAGAAGGGAATTTATATGCCATGACATGCCATTTTTCTGTACAAAACATGTATATATTATTTATACATTTACATGGACAAAGAAGTGTCAAGAAAAGCATGTCTACTATAATTACTATTTCATATGACTCTACTTATATAAGTCCTCCACTCTAGCTCTTAGCCATGCATTTAAATATCTAAAATTACAGAGAACTGTGCTTGGTTACATGCTGATTGCAAGCAGGGCTTAATCACTGAGCCTTCATATAAAGTCTATTAGTCATAAATTGACGGTCACAGTTTATCTTACCTAGAGATTTTTCAACACCATCAGCGAGGTAGGGATCATAAAATATAACATTAAACCCAAATACTTTAGCTCTTATTGCTACTGCAGTTCCAACTCGCCCTGAAACATAAAATAAACAAAATGAAATAAGGCTAATCAGTGATCTATTTTTATCTCGTCAATAAACTGATCTATTTTGCATGATAGGTTAAATTGAAAATACAAGTATTATCGTCTTAAACTACATGTCTTAAATGATATATATATATATCAATACTTACCTAATCCTACAATACCTAATGTGTCACCTCGAATTCTAGCACAGCCTTGAGCCGCTTCTCGTAAATTTTCTGGACCATTTATTTTTTTCCCTTCTCGTACCATATTTGCCAACCAATATGTGCGACGATATAAATTAAGTATAAGACACATTGTGGAATCTGCTACCTCTTCAACTCCATAACCGGGTACATTACAGACAGCAATACCTAACAATAAAACAATTTAGGCTTTCAGAAGCATATTTCCATAGTTTTCATTGTAAGCACATGTTAATGCAGTCTTAAACCATTCTAACAACCTTTCTGATCAAACGACTAGCACAACTATTCTTGTACAATGGGTTTGGGCATTACAGTAGCGTTAAAACCAAGTGCTTCAAGCTTTGACATAATATAGTTAAAAAAGCCTTGTCTGGCTATGCATTCATCTTCACAAATATAATTTTTTTTTTTTTTTTTTTTTGTTTATCACAAAAATTGTAACTTACCTAATTCAGCAGCGGCTTTTATATCTACATTATCATAGCCACTACCAATTCTTACAATAACACGTAAACTTTTAAATTTATCTAGATCTTCTTTGGTTAAGGTAATAGTATGCCACATTAATGCCCCTACAGCTTCATTTAATACCTGAAAAGTAGAATTCAAATGTTAGGTGTATGTTGTAAAACCCAAATGATCAACCCACCCCATTCATTTTAATTAAGCACAATTTGTGCTCTGTTAAGCGTTACTACTTAACAAGGCCTTGCGCTATGCAATTTCGCAATATCGTGCACAATCCAATTCTATGACAATGCTGTGTAGTGAGGGAGTGTAGGGTATGTTATCGTGGCATTGAGTTTAAACCTGTCCAAAATGGCAAAATTAAAACAGAATCGTAGGTATCAAGCATGCCCTGTGATGACTTCGTCCAATTTCATTGGCTGCAACTCGGAATTCAAATTGTTGCCCGACACAGGTGTGGCCTTGAAAGTATGATACATTGATTGAGCAAGAGTAGATTTTCTTCTGTAAGAATTTTTATTTATTAGCACAGTGTTTTACTCTGTACTCAAGTATATTTCACGGCGATGCAGGCATCATTTTTAGTGTTTGTTCCCAGTTTGTAGTACAGGGAAACGGAGCGTGCTTAGGATACCCCTAGTAGAAAATATGAAAAATTAAATTATTTCCTAGTGAATATAGACTTATAACCATATTGGAGAATGAAGTGTTACAATAGAAGGGGATGCTTGGCCTTACACTGCCTTAGGTTGGTATTTTGTTTCTACAGAAGTGGGAAAACCTTGTCAAGGAAAATGGCATATTGGAATGAAACATATCTAGGAATGTCTTCATACTCCAGTGTAGCATTAAACGAAGGCCCAACACTCTTCTTGCAAGCCAGGGGTGTACCTGATTCCGTTTCATGGCTGTGTTTTCTTACGTGCACGGATAATCGGAACCCCACAAGTAAGAGTGAAGGCAAATTGGCTTGCAGCATTGCTTTATAGGTCGTGAAGTGTGAGGGGATCGATAGCATGATAGCTTGCAATACTACTCAACATGTTAGCTCTACGATGTCTGTCACATATATGATAGTTGTGAGGCCTGCTTTTAAGTGTAACCCTGTATAAAACTCATACATAAGTTGGTGCATATCTATAATTTGTCCTATTTAGCTTAGACAAAGTATTACATCTGTGAATCGATGTATTACGCCAGGACCTGCCAATCTTGAAGATAAAATGTTGATATTTATCATTACCCCATATTGCGATACTTATCCTATCATGACCCTGGTATAGTGATACGTATATCATAGCATGATTGGTGCTACACACCCAGTAATACACAATATATAGCTATTATTTTATATTGTATAAGCTTACAAGACAAAAAATATGTTACTGTTTGCTTCACTCTGCTGATCATATAAACAGGTTGGTAACATCAGTTAATATTATGTATGTAATAGATTATCTTTTATTTAGTACTGTTAATCACAGTATGGGCCCAGTGCATTTAGATGAAACAGTTTAACAAAGTGTAAATCGATATCTGTTTTAACTATGGTCTATCAGTGAACCACTAAATTTTTTATATCCATGAACTGTTTTCATTTCTATTTCATTCTATGATGAACAATGTTTGTTATGTTGTATTTACATTAAATCATTAGTAAACATCAAATCATTACAGCATGAACAACAGATGATATGTCACTGAAGAAAAAGTCTTTTCTAACCTTTTTCTTCCACAAATTTTAAATGTTAAAAAAAGTATAGTTGTTGTATCAATAATACTATTATGTCAAACACAAACTAAATAATGTAGAATCAATATGATGCTTTAACCACCTGTTACATTACAATCATTACTATAGTTTATTGATATATCATACAATTCATATCAATACTGTCTACAAATCATTACTCAATGATTCATTCTTATCAAAAATATCGTATCTCTGGTTTCAACTCATTTGACTGAAGAACTGTCATATGTTCTCTTAGCTTTAAATACTAACACAAGACAACTCAATTTCAATGAAATTATCGATATTTACACACGATTTATAGTAGATATAAATAAAACTGATTGATACACAATAATATTACCATAGATTAGAGTTAAATAAATAAACTGGCTTTATTTCTTATTTGTTTATTGACAGGTTCCAATTGATAAAATTGGGCAAAAATTTCAATCCTGCTGAACATACACACAATTTTGTAATACTAAGAAATCATTTTATTTATCATACTTTCAACCAGGCTACTTTGGTGTAATCAAAATGGCATTCAATCATGCTTGAATACAATTTGTAAATTCTAATAGTTTTTTATAAGCAATATTCATTTTTGAGAAAAGAGGCTAGGTCTAAATAAATTCCTCTCAATGACTCATGCCTCCTGGTATTCTTCAGATGTGTCGTGGGGTCCTTGTATGACACAACCAATATAGGACCAAAGAACTTCATTTTTAAGAGAAAATAAAGCAAATGTTAGCATGTCTGCTGAAGAACAGATTTCAGCCATATCAGGACTCAGGAGACATTTAACTTGAAATAGAGAAACCTAGGAATCATCCTAATCAAACGGAGCATGTAATTGAAATTCCATATAGGATTTAGAACAGTCCTCTCGAATCCTAACAGGTTATTTATTTCAATTTCTATTAATTTCCAATTTGTCATGTATTTTTAATGGTTCTTAGAGCCTGAGACATGTTATCTCTATATAGTTAAATAAGATTACTTACTACAAGTAACATTAAATATAATATCTTACCTTTTCATGAATTTCTGTTGTGGATTGTGCATCACAGAATGCCACTGTAGCCACATCTTTTAAAATTGGCATTTCAATTGAACAATCTCTGCCATCTAGTAATGCCACTAATGGACGTGCATGTACAGGTCCATTTGGAATAGGTCCTCGAATAGCCACTGAAAAATTTCGACAAAATTATCAGGTTTATCTAAAATTTTGAGTATATCTATCAATAAAATGAAGATAGGATGACTTAGTGTTGAAATGGTTAATCAGTTGACCGGTTTCAGGTGGGATTTTATAGTTAACAATAGATTTTATTAGAAACATTTATTGAAAAAAATTTTCACTTTATTAATCCTTAAACTCTTCTTTCCTCTAGAAAATAAACGTCTAAACTAGTGTTTTTCTTGATTGAATAATAATTATTGAGAGGTTTATCATGATGAGGTATCTAATAGGCTATCATAATGCGTATTGCCAGAATTATGTTGGTTTTTTTGGGACAAGATTATCGATCCTGAAACCGACAATTCACCGGTTATCGGTTCAAACTAGGTACTCAAAGTAAGATTTTTTAACAGGTGCCACATGTTACTATATATATAGCTCAGTGACCCAGAGAAGACTCTCAACATTTTAAAATGCCAGTTATTGTTAGACCAAACCAAATTTCATAGCTAAATCTTCCTGTGTAGGACACTGTGCTTAACAAATAGATCAGACATTGTAACAATGAAAGCTTGATAATTGTGATAAAAGACGAAACAAAGAATGGTAAAGTTCAATATTTCCCTAATATACAGTGCAATAAATGACACGAGTACCTCTAATAATTAACCAAGCCATTTGATCTAATAGCAATGACCTTGATGGTGGGTTCGTTTTGCCACATTGCATAACTTGCCGCATCGTGCCCAACTGCACACAATCGACTAATTCTGGAATGGCCATTTGTTTCACATGAAACAAAATATTTTAATCTCGCATTGATTTTCTTTTCATTTATAATTTTATTGTTAAAACTGGAATAAAATAAATACCAAGTACAAACGATCAGGACCGTAAAACAAAATACATAAATCCATAAAACGAAACAAGACAAGTTAAATAAATAAAATATTGGTCATAACTTGCAAGAGTTATGTCCCTCTTCTGCGTGCCTATAACGTCACCCACGTGCTAGAAAAAATGACAACTGAAATGTCCGAAAGTGACATTCTTATGAACAGTTAATCAGAATTATCAAGCAAGGAGAAGTTTAAAATTGTCTTAAAGTATTAAATGTGCCCTCAACCGCCACTGGTTCCAGGTAAGTCCCAGAATGTCCTGGTGGACAAGGTAGAAACTGGGATTTATTGGCACCACACTACCTTCTACAAACCTGCGATTGTTTAGAAAAAATGACATCGAATGGATCCACAGGAAAATAAGCATTGCGGAATCTAAAAAAGTAAGCGGTGAGGGTTATATTTTGAAAACTCAGTATTGTCACCATAATAGCGAGAAGTATGCTTCTATGAAAAGGCACAGTACAGAAGTCTTGAATAAGTGACAAGAATATTGGCTTGTGAAAGCATTGGTTAGATGTTGGAAAACCTTGTATACCATTTCACTATGGATTTTTTTAATTTGTATTACGGTTCTGATAGTTTGAACTCGGTATTTATTTTATTCCAGATTTTACCATAAAACTATAGTTTCAATTTTCCTAACAGGTCCAAATTATAAATAAAAAGAAAATCGATTCGGGACAATAGATTGAAACATTTTGTTTCATGTGAAATAGATGGCCATTCCTGATTTTATCAGAAACCTTTAGTTTCGTTTTGTGCAGTTCGGCACAATGGGGCAATTTGCAAAATAAACCCACTGTGACCTTGGGGTCACGCTGGTGATTGGTCAGTAGAATTGATCTTTTATTTTTAAATGTCATTCTATGTTGGATTATCACTTATACAAGCCATTATCTAATTGACTATAAGTGATTAAGATGATTAGATGTCGAATTATACAGATTTTTATGAGTGTCGGGACCACTGATTAGTGTCGTAATTCGTAATACACAGTTATGTTGAGTACTAAGGAGTTTTTTTAAACTGACAAAACCTAGGAAATAAATTGGGACCAAAAAAATATGTCGGATTACACAGAATGTCAGAATACCTAGATATATATCGGATATCACAGAGTACACTGTACTGCAGTTTAGAATACGCTGTGTTACCGCTGCGATTGCAGTTTTTGATCTTGTTTTTTTATCTTGAGTAATTAACTGGGATTAACCAGGCAACAAAAGGTTATTGACGAAAATTACTCAGTTCATCAAAATCACTAATCGTTTCAACACAATAATTTGACTTCATCTCATTCAAATAAGGACCTTTCAATACTTTGTCTTACATCACCCATTATTAACGTACCAGAGGCTGAAATGCTAAATGCTATGGATAAATCTGATAATTAGAAACTCACAATAAATCGACTTACTTTCAAATCTAGGTTTTTTTACTGGAGGCTGAGCCAGTCTTCCCTTGTCCATGAGCTAATATAACACTAGTTTCCAAATTGAAAACACCACCCCTTCTTTGGTCTTTTTTCTTACAAGATCACTTCTAAAAAAAAAAAAAATAATAAAATTTCTTTATAATTTGAATATATACATGGAGGCAAAATTTCAAGATTTGTTTTTGAAACATGAAAACGTGTTCATCAACTAACCCTTAACCTTCCTAAATAATCTGCCTTGCCACTATGTTTTATTGTGATTGACTAACTCAACTAACACCATGTAAGCAAATACAAAGTTTTTCTTTAAATAACTTTCAAACTATGTCCAATCAACCTTCACCTATGTAATTCATCAAGACTCACATAAAATACTGTCAGGAGGATAACAAATCTTCAGCCAATAGACGATTTCTTCTCATCATGCTGCATCTAAAATCATAATTTGATATATAAAGATATAATTCTATGCAAATCGTAATAAAAAGATAGTTTGCCGGGCAAGGAAATATACGCCCACTGGCAGCTTTGAGTTTGAATAAAAATATATAGCAGTACAGTAACAATCGCCAGTATGAAATATTCAACCTTCAATCATACACTTCCTTTTGAACACTTTAGGGCGATACTGAATAATATTGAGTATGAGTTATTGCCTATATTCTCGGGCTAAAAATTTTCAGGAACAAGGGCGATAACTCATACCGGTACTCAATATTTTTCGATTCTTCTGATTTTCAACAGGGTTCATCCTTGGGTGATTACGAACACTCGCATCAAGTTTCATCAAAATCCGTCAAGAATTGTGCCTTCTATAGTGTTTATGAGCTAAAAATTGAACACGTTTTCAAGAACAAGGGCAATAACTTATACTAAATGTTTTACAATTCTTCTGATTTTCTACAGGGTTCATCCTTGGGTGATAATAAACGATTTCAGCAAGTTCCATCAAAATCCGTAAAGAATTGTGACTTTTAAAGTGTTTACATTTCATGTGGGCGTATAAAAAAAGCGCTGATCGACATAAATGAAAAATGAGCAATAAAATCAGCATTTAGTCGACTCTTCAACAAGTACATGATTACAACAATCAGTCGATCTATAAACCAAAATCTTCAAAAAAATATTGTAATAAAGATCTGTAATAGGTGAAATATGTTTATTTAGTCTAAATGATGATGAATCAAATTCAAAAGTGTGTACAAGCTTAGTTCTTGGTTTAGACCTACAGTTGGAATTTATAATTTCACCCTTCAAATTTTTAAGGAACACCTGATGTTATACTATCTATTTACAGTAGCATAACATCCTTTCTTCAAATTCAGATTATAATTAGTCAAATGAGACACTTATTGTTTAATTAGTCCCGTAACCTCTGAATTAGTTTATTAAATTGATTCAATTTCTTAAGAACAAAAGATGTAAAAAAAACATTACAGTTCACCATTTCTGTGATTTGTAGATGGACGGCATTATCATGCATTGACATATCAGGTACTTTATAATGAATACAGAAACAGAAAAGAACTTCTGCTGTTCATTTTATAAAAGGAACTAACAACACATGACATTATCATATATACATATTTATTCACATCTCAAAATAATAGATGTAGATCGTCACCCGATATTGTGACTTTGTAATGTTGTATAATATTTGTAGTAACAATAAATGCCACCAAAGACAAAAGCTACAAAAAGAAACATTGTTAACAATTAGCTAGATTTGTGTATAAAGGGTACCGGTATATCAAATTAAGACTGAAAGAATTCAACAAAAATTACCATGCTGAATTTTTTTTAAAAATTTAGCCAAGGCAAGTCATGGTAACAAAAACTAAATTTGAGAAATTGAAATGTTTTATTGATTACAGTCATCATTAATCCATTAATCTAACATCATCATTTTGTTAATTCAAATGATGTAAAAAAAATCTAAAATTGACTTTAAAAAAACAAAGAGATTCCTTACGACCACCATTCTCCATGACAAAAGGTTGACACATAATCCATTCATTCAGACATATCAAGCAATAACAAAAGGAAGTGTATCAAAATCATGGCCGCGTTATTTTACCGACTTTGCTGGGGGTAATTTGCATAAATAAAGTGCACCGCCATTGATCTCTGCTTTTAAACCATTCATTCAAAAAGTTATAATCTACATTCGGTCAGTATTAACTAAATACATAACAGTATAAGTTAAAGTCCCACATTAATTACCTAAGAATGCGTCATTTATTTCATATCTAAAATAGTGTTCACACTAAACAAATTCACAACATCAAGGACCATGACCTACTTTTCTAATCCGAACAGGGTACTTTGTTTAGTTGACTTCTTGGCCTAAAGTAAGAATGATTCAGATGCTGAAGAACAACTTCAAGCAACTAATTTAATTCTCAAGAAATATAACATTATATCTGTAGGTGATTATAGGATCGATACTCGTCCGAAATGAAAGAAAAATACAGATAAAACTCACCTTTCTTTTCGATTATGAGACAAACAAAGGCTGTTCCCAGCAAAGCACCGGTCAGCTTCGGACCATTAATTTGCTAGTTCAAACACAACTTTTTCCAAATCAATCACCAATTATTCCTGCGCAAATGTATCAGCAATGAGTAATCATAACTCTCACACGTATTAATTGATGCAATATTTAAAAAATTTGGGTTAAATTCCGTTAGGTCACGACAAACTTACAGGATGAAAACCCTTGCCGCTCAATGGCGCGTGATCTCGCTAAATCTCGTAAGAAAAAAAATTGGCTTCATAATTTTATCGTCTTTTTATCAATTATTTGCAGTATGTTAAAAAATCCTCTTTTTCTTTTTGTAAATAAAAGGAATTTTGAATTCATTCTTAAAAAAAAATAAAACTTAATAAAACGTCATTATGTCTCATGCAACAGCGTAACCAAATTGTTTTCTGTAATCCGAAAAGTTCTACTGAACTGTATTACCAGATCCATTTATTGTATATAACGGTTTAAAAGTACGGTATCCTAAAATTACGCAAAATTACAACTTACTTCTGCTTTCAACTTGGATGATTTCAAAATCATTGAGTTAAAGCAGAACCCGAATTGTATAATATTGTATGGAAATGCAGTAGACTAAATTAAGCCTTTGATTTAAAGGGAAAGGTTCGCCATTAGTTTGACCATTGTACCTTGATATTTTGTTTGTTTTTTATTTTATTTGCTTCAAATATAAGAAGGCATAGTAGACTTCACATCTTTTCAAGCCGACATATCCATGAAAATTTCAGAATTAAAAATGGCTGTATAGATCTAGCTAGTAATAAGAAAAATAATAGAATTCATTTAAACAATTGATTTTAAGAAAGCCTTGATAGTATCAATCATGACTGTATGTATAAAATTCTTGAACTTTTTGGTTTTCGTAAAAATTTCATACGATGGTTAAAAAACACTTTATAAAAATATAACTTTTTTAATAATATAATATTAGAAACAATTAAAAGATAACATTAATTTACTTTGATAATGAAGAATTAAAATCTAGGCCTATATCATTTGTTGATGATTTAACATATTTCTTAAGACAAAATAGGATGCCAGACGTCTTTTTGAATTATTAGAATTATTTAAAGAAGTATCAAATTGAGTATCAACATTCAAAAGCGGATGCAATAAATCTGAACTTATCAAAAGAAAATTTTGAAAAATGTATGAAATTATTAAAATTGATAGTTGAACCAATAAAAATCTTAGGAATCTAATTTTACAATAATTTATAAATTTGAATTGTGAAAATAAATTGCAAGATATTGATACAGTTATTTCAAAATGATGTTTCAAGAAACTTAATCTTATAAGAAACATTCAAGTTATAAAATACATTATGTATTCATAGAAAAGCAATATGTGCCAGAATAAATAAGCAAAAAATTCAATGAAAAGGTTTATCAATGTCTATTGAATGGTGCAGATAAAGTCAAAAGGAAAAAATAACCCAAAATATACAAAATAGCTGTTTGAATATGATCGATTTACATCATTCTAAAATGTCAAAGTATATTTTAGATAATATATTTTGGAGGTCAACTTCTGTTTTTCTGTAATTATGACCAAAACCTAAAAAACATACCTTTCTTTAATAAATTTCTTGAGGACTGGGAATTTATTTATACTAGAAATATTGATAAGTACGGAGCCCCTTAGGCGCAATTATTTCGTTTAATCGAATAACTTATTTCGTTTAAACGAATTAATTATTTCGTTTAAACGAAATACATTTTTTCATTTCGTATTTCGTTTAATCGAAATAAGTTATCGATTAAACGAAATAAAAAATGTATTTAACTTATTTCGTTTAAAAAAACCAAGGATTGACCCAAGTTTTTTTTTACCTAGGAAAGCAATTTACATTTGTCTTGTCACTTGATAAACCAGCGTTTATTTCCCCATAACGATAATAAGATCCACATTCATTCCTTAATAAACGAAATATTTGATAAAAGTACGGAAAATTGCGCCTAAGGGGCTCCGTAGATAAGTATAGATTGAAATAACATGGAATAATAAAACATCTTAATCAGTACTTATAATTATAACTTATTCATGAAAGGTATAATTCTCGTTGAAGATGTTCATACAATATCTACACAAAAATCGCATATTTCCTTCAAAAAATACTTTAAACTAGGAATTTCACTTTCTTTTTCTTTGTTATATTAGTCTCAAAAAATTGATGAGTCGTCATTTTAACTTTCAAACGTGGATTATACTGGACACCCATGCAGATTTGAAGGCTAAAATTTCGACGGTGAGCTGTAAACACTATTACGATTAACTAAGCTAAAAAAATTCCCGTTTCTGAGAATAAAGTAAAAAAATCTTGATCCGTTGCTATATTATTTTAGAAATAAAAAAAAATATTTTCGGATTATTTGATAGGTTACGTTTGAGTTTTGACTGCTTACGATTTAACAATAACAAATCCACTGAGGAATCGTATCGATCAAAACAAGAAAATGGAAAAAGAAGTGAACATGGGGGATGTCAAATCTCTTGAACATCCCACTCTTAAGGTCCTTTTTTCTCATTATTGATTATGCGAGAGTGATGAATACACTGTTTTGTAACCTATGATAAGATCTTTCCTTCCTTCCCTTACGTTTCTGTTTTCCTCCCTCATTCCCTCTTCTCCCCCTTTCAATCGTCTCCTTCACTTTCTCTCCTTCATCTTTCCTTCCCTTCCTCTCAAATAATGTCCATGTCGACCTCTACCCAGGGTTTCAAGTTATAAAGTTTATGGACTATTGAGAGAAAACTGAGTTAAGAATCCGAATCAGGCCCAAAGTCGTTATCTTGCTAGAATTATAGCCTTCTTGACATCAGTGATTATGGTACTGTAATCAGTGTTTCTAGCTAAAATTTAACATTTCCTTTTTTGGCTTGACATGTTCGTTCTGTAATTCTAAAATGAAATTTCGCAGGTTCCTTATGAAGTTTTAAACAAAAAATTTAGAACTGCTCAGAAGAATATAGATAGAGAAGTTTCTCATGTACAAAGTTCTGGTAATGAATTTGAGAAATGTCTACAGAAACCAACTGTATCTGTTGGTGATGTGACTCAAGCAATTGGTAATATGGTTGAAAAGTTAACAATTTTAAAGAGAAAGGTATGTTTCTTTTCTTTTCTGATACAAAAGTCTTTAACAATAATTGTCAAATCAAAATCAAATCTAACTTTGTTTAAATGAACTATTTAATACTATATACTTCTAGGCTGATGAAAGTTTACAGCATGAAATTGATGCTGCTAGAGTAATAAAAAGAAGAGTTGATCATTTAAAAGAAGTAGAGAATATTCCTGCTGGTGCCAAACCACTGTGGCAGAAAAAACGACTGGACAGAATGATCGTGGAATTCTTTTTGCGAAAAGGTTATTATAACTCAGCTTTAAAACTGGCAAAACATTCAGATATAGAGGTATGGTTTAATATATTACTATTGATTTAACTGCAACATTTTCATTATATTTGCTTATCCAAATTTTACAGTTGGGTTTCAGTTATTCATGCCAATTTCAAAATATGATTTGAAAATAGGATTCAAAATCATTAATCAGAAAAACTCTTTTGATTGTTTTCTTGCACATTCTATAACATAATTCACTTACTGTAGTTCCTATTGTGAAAAAAGAACTGGCCTTTTTTTCAATACTAGATTTAGGGAAGATGAATTAGTGAAAGATAAAATGTTTAATTTTGACAGGATTTAACAAACATAGATTTGTTTTTGACTTCTAAAGAAGTAGAAGAATCATTAATGATGAATGATACTTCAGCCTGCTTAGCTTGGTGTCATGATAATAAATCAAAACTTAGAAAAATGAAAGTAAGTATTCGTTTATAATCTATAAGTAGCTGGACTTTTGTTATTAAAGTTTTGATGATAATGCACATTGTTACATGCCTCAATAGTAGAGAGGTTCAAAATCTTTGGCTACATATGTATAAGGCTTTTTGTAAATATCTTTGTCAATGTCATTCTTTTTGGAGGACATCTAGATTTGTGTTCGGTCTTCCATATATAGATGGTAATAGTGTGATGGAGCCAGGAAAACTTAACAAAGTCCCTTCTTTTCAAAAGAAGAAATGAGCATACTTGCATTGCAAATAACAGAAACTTCAACCAACTTTTTTTGCCGAGAATATCTTGAAAAACTATTGACATCTTACCAAGTCTTTTACTGAATCACTTGATAATAGCCATTTATCATCTTGTTGTAGAGTTGTTTGGAGTTTAATGTACATAAACAAGAATTTATAGAATTAGTTCGACAGAATAACAGATTAGAAGCAGTCAGGTAACATTTATGGCAATTATTTTTTTTTTGAACAGTTTATTCCAGAAAAATTTTAGAGTTTTTTTAAATGGACAGATTCTCTATTTTAGCTTTGATTCTTGAATATGTGTAAATATGTCTTCAGAAGTACTAGAACTATATGAAAATCACATAATTCTTTCAAAATATCACAAACTAGAAATTTCTTTCCTATTTTTATGTCTTTTTTATATATGCATTATCTCATGAAAAGATCTTTTTAACTTTCCAATGCGGATAATTCTGGACACATATGGATTTGAAGGCTCAAATTTCGACTCAACATAGATTGGTTTTGCTTAAAAATTCCTGTTTTTAAGACTAAGGTATAAATGATGTATATTATCTGTTTTGATGTTGTTTGATTTACAGACATGCTAGGAAATATTTTAGTAATGTTGACAGTTCACAGATACAAGATATACAGAAAGTTATGGGTCTACTAGCATTCCCTGCTGATACACAAATCTTACCTTATAAGGTTAGATTTTTGTAATTAAAGTTTTGACTGCTGATGTGAAAAATACTTCATTTTAACAAAAAAACAAAAGTGTTAGATATAAAATCCTGATAAATTTATTATCAATTTCAATATGACAAGATATAGCTGAAAGAGAGCTTGGACCTTGCAGGGACATGATATATTTTTCAAACATAGATTCCAACCTGGTAATTATTTTATTGATACACATAAATTTCTAATTTAATGTTTTATTTAAGGAGTTATTTGATCCTGGCAGATGGCATACATTAGTTTTACAGTTCAGAGAGGAGAATTTTAAATTACATCAGTTAAATACAACATCAGTATTTACTGCAGCTTTACATGCTGGTTTATCATCTTTAAAAACACCGTATCCTTTTAATGTAATAATTGTATATATATATATGGTACCTTATTGGCACAGATTACTTTTGTCAGAGGTGTATTGGTTTGAATCTGTCATAGATTAAGATTGTTTCTTCAAAAGGATAGAAAATTATACCAGCAAAAGTTTAATGTATCAAAATGAGGTGCTGAGAAGTGAGATGAAAAGCTAACATGAAAAGCCCCCAATTCTCTTGTGCTAGAACCTCTTCTTTAATTTCAGTTGTAGGTGTATACCTAATTGTTTCATAATGCATCCATTTTTTTTAAGTGACATTTGTATTTGATCCTTATACTTATGTACTTATGAAATTGTTACTGGGGCTCTTTACTGAATCCTTTTCTTGAAAAAATAGAAGAGAATGATAATATCTTAAATATTTATATTCTGCTGTGTTTTCCCTTAATGTATAATGTAGTTATTGTTATAAGAGAGAAAGAGATGGTAAGCCTACAGATTGTCCTGTTTGTAGTAAACATCTAAATGAAATCGCCAAACCATTACCTTACGCTCATTGTGCCAATTCAAGATTGATTTGTGCAATATCTGGTTGTTCTTTAAATGAACATAATCCACCAATGATTCTTCCAAATGGTTATGTGTATGGATTTTCAGTAAGTATACCTGTGATATTGGTGTTGAAGTATAGATTTTTATAAATATTTGGTGTACCTGCTGATAGAGCTTAATTTAATCTTTCTGCAACAAGTTAAACATCAGTTAATCAAAATCAAAGCAGAATATAGACTGTCATCATTTGCATTTAACATTCTTTCAGAATTGTGGCCAGAGAACTACACATTTGATTTGGTTTGTTATAGATAGCTAAAAAAAGAGCTTTATTAACTATTGAAGCAAATATATAGAGAACTTTTACCTTAGATTCTGAATTCAACCTTGTCTGGATCAAACCCTTTTTGAAGATTTGCCAAACATTTTTCATTTGGTCATTAGAAATAAACCAATATAATGTTTTGAATTTATCGCAATTTATTTTTCTTCAGGCATTAGCTATGATGGCATCAGAAAATGATGGAAGAGTAGTTTGTCCTAAAACCAAACAAATATTTCATTTAGACGATGCTCAGAAAGTATTTGTGATGTAAACTGGTTTGACCAATGTGGGAAATATACTTACCTCAAAATAGCACAGTATGCTTTAAGGCTTAATGGAATTATTTGGATGCTTTTAATAATAATGAAATGTATTTGAGTTTGGCAATTTATAAGCATATTTTCACTTTTGCACAATTGTAAGTCTCGTCCTGTTTTAAAGGGACAGGTGCGCCATTTTAGGGGGGCTTGAAATGGGCGTATATTGCCGTCACCCATGTCAGTCCCGCTGCCCTCAATTGCTCGTAAACATTCTACAAGGCACAATTCTTCACTGATTTCAACGAAGCTTGGTATGGTTGTCTGTAATCACCCAAGATGAACCTTATTGAAAATCAGAAGAATCGAAAAATGATTAGTATGAGTTATCGCTCTTGTTCTTGAAAACGCTTTCAATTTTAGCTTGTCACTCTAGAAGGCACAATTCCTGACGGATTTTGACGAAACTTGGTGTGAGTGTTTGTAATCATCCAGGGATGAACCTGCTCGAAAATCAAAAAAATCAAAAAATATTTAATATGAGCTATTGAATATTTCATACAGGTGATTGTTACTGTACTGCCAAATATTTTTATTTGAAATCAATGCGTATATTACCTTGCCTGGCAAGCTATCTTTTCTATATGGCAGTTTCTCAAAAAAAGACGACTTGTCTTTTTAACTTTCAAACGCAGATAATTCTAGACTCTTACGAATTTGAGGGTTCAAATTTAAACGGTGAGCTGTGAACACTATTACTGATTGACTTAAATATGATTGGTCAAAAAAACAGCGCGACTGTCCCTAGGTGCATTATTTGTTTCACGAGTACTTTACATTGGGTAGTTCAAGAAGAAATTTTAGTATATGAAATTTTTGACTTTTAGGCCAAAATTTACAGAAACAATACATCTTATTAAGGAGCCTGTTTCTACAGATGTTTTGTTTATGGAATGCAGTTTTATTTCCAAATGTGTCTGTATCAAAATATGGTTATGTTTCACTTAATTACTAATGTCTGATTTTGCTGATAGAGCTATGCTCCTTTCAGTTTTTGACATTCTGAGTTGAGAAGATATAATAATTGGCCAGTTTTTTCATCTGGTTAAATATAGCCAAAGAAATAAACTGAATATGTAATTATCATCATTTTACCAACTAACATAATAATAACAGATTTATATAATCCTTTTAACATACACAGCAAATGTTATATGTTTCAAAGCTGTTATACACCTACTATACTACTGATATTAAATTTGATAGCTGAGTACAATATAAATATTTTTTCTTATGGCTAGAAGAAAGATGGTCTTAAGAGGAGCAAGGTAATGTCCATTCAAATCTTTCAATACCTTAAAATTGTGAAAAAAATGCGTACTAAATCTGCAGTGTTTAGCTGCTTTATCTAACAATGATAAACTCAGTGGTTATCAGTAAGTCTAATATTTAATTTCTTTCTGTAAACTGGGCAACCAATTTTATAATATAAGTATAAGACACCATTAATTATAAAGTTAAAAACGTATGTCTGATTAAACCTTTGATATTTACAGAATTACAAAAAGGGATAAACAGCTAGTTCTGCACTTGTTTCAGCAGATATTATTTTGGAAAAGTTGAGTCTTTATTGTGCCATTAAGTGTGGATGTAGGCATTTAGATTTGAATGTTGATCAGTATATTGTCCCTTTTTTGTTACATTGACAGTAAGAATTTTTTTTGAGGAATTGAAAGAAACTTAAAATTATTATTGAATTGAAAGCAAGGTATAAAGGTTACTTATAATATTGATGATAATATGCAAATAATCTGTGATTACCAAGGTTATATGGCTTTTAGTTGTAGAAAATTGTGAGTTCTTGTTGAGGTTGGGTTTGAATGAGTTAGTATGATTTGATTGTGTATTGTATCAAGACAATAAATAGAATTTTAAAATACAATGTACTTGTTTTTATACGCCCACATTATAATGTGAATGTACACTGTCCATACTCCTATCCGGTTGTCCGTCAACAACTGGCTTGTGAAAGCTATAGAGCACAGTTTTGATCGGCTTTTGACGAATTCTGTTTTGCTCGATGTGATCCCCCATATGCCTATGGGCAATGATATACCTGCAAAGAAAAGAGCCATGAAAACAGGTGTTGCCTTTGTAAAATATATATTGTCAGGATATGAAAATAAGTCCGGTGGCTGGAAACCAATGTATTTATGAGCCGATGTATTAATGACAACGTACATTGGTTAACAATTCTCTTTTGCCAAAAGGTGATAGAAATGAATATCAGCTCAATGATTTCGCAATACACGTCATTCAACAAGAAAGTACAACAAGTGAAGTAAATAAATGGCGGACATGTAAACACGGTGTAATCAGTTCTGTCAAGATCTAGTTATAACTTTGGAAATAGAATAGACTATAATATGTGATATGGATAATTTAAAAGGTAGAGAGATAAGGATTCTTCTGATCTAATTTGGAACTGATTGACTTTGTGAAATGGTAATAATTTTGAAAAAAACTTTTTTTCATAGAGAATTATAATAATGAGTAGTAATCAATTATTAGGTCAGTTGACTAACTTTATAGAGATAAACAAATAAATAGTATTAACTCTCTTCACCTGTGAACCTGTCACTGTATGGAAGAGTATCTGGTTCATCACGGTATTTAAATTTCAAACCTGCATTCAAAATGAGTGGCAAAGATAAGAAACAACCACCAAAACGACCGCACCCATCTAGTTCGTCTGGTGACGTTTCTTTCCAATCGTCAAATCTCGTTATGATCGATAACAGACTTTCAACAATTGAACAAGCACTGAACAATATGATAACCCCATCTAATCTTGACAAAATGTTATCAGATTTCTTTGTCAAAATTAAACGTGAGATAGTAATTGAAGTGAAAGCCGAAATTGCAATCGAGCTGGAAGAAATTAAACAATCGTTACATAAAGAGAGGGAACGGGTCCTGTGCTCTCTCGAATGAACGTGATAAAATAAAACTAGAACTAGTAGAAATAACAAAAAAAACAAAGTCTTATGGACGAGGACATAAAAGATTCTATTAGGCTCGGCAACCGCAATGAACAATACTCTCGCAAGAAAAATATCAAAATTTTAGGGTTTAAGGAAAACACAGGAGAAAATTTGAAGGAGGACTTTAAAAGGTTCGTTAGCCAACATGCCAAGATCAACATACCAGACCATCAAATTGTTGAAATTCATAGAATCCCATCACGAAATCCAGACTTCCCCAAACCAATCATCTTAAAACTTTTACAATCGGACATTAAACTGGACTTGATGCGAAATAAAGCAAAATTTAGGGATCAAGGGATAAAAATGTTCAAGGATGTTACAAAACGGAACACGGAACTTATCAATCGCTTAAAACGAAATCCGGATATCGAAAGTGCTTGGTGCTTTAATGGAACAATTCATGCTAAAACTATTCGTAATGAACGCATGGTATGTGATTTGTTTGAAAATATTCAAAACAAAATTCAGAAATTAAGATTTAGACATTGATTTCTAATAGTGATGAACAAAAAGTTATTGATATGATAGTCATATTATAAAATGTCGAAACTATTAATTATACAACTAACTGAACCCGCTGTGCAGCTGTCTTATGAATGATAACGTTCTGGGAAACATCGTTATTGATATTCCACATTTATATATCAAATTAAGGGAAAATACACCAAACCTATTGGTCAAATTTATTGACATCCATTATTTGGTTCTGCGGTTAACAATACAAACCCTTACCAAACCAGGTAATCTTAATTTGTTGAGAAAAAGGCTAAGGGTAAAACGATATCAACGAATATAGCTAAATTATAAAGAATTGTGTATTATATTATTAAAAAATACGACCAATAGGTTTGACTTTCAGCAGATAACTATTTCAAGATGGGTTCTCTTATTTAATGAAAATGAAAATGCCAATACTTATATGATTAGAGAGTAGAGGTGTTCTAATGACTGGACACATTTATATAGGTGTACATACAGTGGTAATGATATTATGTTATAAATCATAAGGGCCTAATAAGAATATAAAAATACATGGAAATTTATTAAAACATAAATTATCAAATAGTTGCTTAATTTGACACTTAAAGATAGGAGGACCCACCTTTGGAAAAGAGATACCAGAATTTTTTTTTAGCAATATGTGTTTGACTATGTCTTGATAGTAAAAGTATATTCTATAACAAAATTTGGAAAAGAGCTATGAAAAGATTAATCTAACAAAGTTTAATCTCATACGTAATTCTATATTTTACATGTATTATTATTTAAGATTGACTGCCCCAAATGAATATTACGATATTTATGAAGGGCATTTTTCTTTGTCTTTATTTTTCTCTTTATTTATTTACATTATCCTAACTCATATAAGAATTTTATTAGACATGTATTTTAAAAAATTATGCTATATTATATTCCTTTATATATTTATTAATCACGACAAAGAATATACAGGCAAAATACATCATTTTGATTGTAAAACAATTAAGCGGCGATTCAAAAATAAGAAAATCAAAATCTTTAAAATATTATGGCTAATATCAGAATAGGGTCGTTAAACACTAGAGGATTACGGGACAAAATAAAAAGACATAAACTCTATAGGTGGATAAAAGATAATAAACTTAAAATCGTATTATTACAAGAAACACATAGCACAAGAAATGATGAAAACGCTTGGCAAAATGAATTCGGTGGTAAAATATATTTCTCACACGGGAGAAGTAACTCTGCGGGTATAGCAATCTTGTTACCTAAAGAGGCGAATGATATTAATGTGATTTAGTATGTAAATGATGATAACGGTTATTACAATATCTTACTTATTACGATAGAACAAGAATCATATATTTTAGTTAATACATACAGCCCTGTGTCTGATAAATTACAAGAAAATTATTATAAAAATCTAAAACTACAATTACAAAATGTTGTGGATGAAAATTTTAATAGGATTCTATTGGGGGGAGATTTCAATAATGTTTTAAACAAAGACATTGACCGTCTAGGAGGAAATTATAAAGTTAAAAAAAAGGGCCTAAATGAAATAGAAAATATAATTCGAGACTTTGATTTGATTGATGTATTCAGACAACTTTACCCTAACGACAAAAAATTTACATGGAAACAAAAATCCCCACCCATCAGTAGTCGGATTGACTTCTGGTTAATATCGGAATTGAATTTGAACTATATAAAAAAGACTGAAATAATCCACAATACTTTAAGCGATCACTGTGCTATATCCATTGATCTTAATCACAATGTTGAAAAAAGAGGGCCTAAACTCTGGATTTTTAACTCTACTCTAACCTTAGACAAACACTATATAAATTTAATTAGCTCTTCTCTTCATAAGTGGGAATCAGAATATTACGATAGAAGTGATAGGAGAGGTCTATGGGACTTTATAAAATATAAAATAAAACAACTTACAATTTTGTATTGTAAGGAAAAACAAAAAGTTAAAAGAGAAATTAAAAATAAACTTATTAATGATTATGAGAAAATAGGAAGTGAAATATCCCAAAATTTAAATGTCGACGAAGAGAAACTAATAGAATACGAAATTGTTAAGACCAGATTAGACAATATCTATACGGAAGAGGCAAAGGGGGCCATATTAAGATCAAAACTTGAAAATTATTATGAAGGAGAAAAAAACACAAAATTTTTCCTGAACTTAGAAAAACATAGACAAAACTCTACTAATATATACAAACTTTTAAGAAAAGATAACTCGTTGATTCAAACAAATAAAGAAATTCTGATAGAGATCGAACAATTCTATAAACAGCTATATTCAAAAAATAATGAAAAAAGTCAAAGCGAAATTAATTTTTTAACTTTCAAAAACGATCATCCCATATTAGAAGAATACGAAGCAGAATGCTTAGAATATAAAATAGACGACGGTGAATGTAGGGAAGCTTTAAATACTCTTAAACTAAATTCATCACCAGGCAATGATGGCCTTACAAAAGAATTTTATAGCTGTTTTTGGCCATACATTGGTAAATATGTTCTAAATTCTTTGAATGAATCCTTTGAAAATAAATGCCTTTCGCAAACTCAAAGACAAACAATAATAAAACTTTTACCAAAACCCGAAAAAAACAAAATTGAACTAACAAATTGGCGACTTATCTCACTTATAAATGTTGATGTGAAAATTGCTAGTAAAATACTTTACCTTAGAGTCAAACAATTTCCTAGTAAATTAATACATGCTAACCAAACGGCATTTGTTCCAGGTCGAAATATAAATGAAAACATACGAATTATAGATGATTGTTTTACACTGGCACAACAGAAACGAATTACAGGAATTTTATTGGCAATCGATTTTTCTAAAGCCTATGATTCAATTTGTCCCTTATACAAGATTAAGTCTCTGAAATACTTCGGTTTCAAAAAAATATTCTTAAGATGGATTGAAACATTATATAACAAATTAGAATGTGCAATAATGAATAATGGTTTCACAACCAAATATTTCCCAATAGAAAGAGGTGTTCGCCAAGGTGACCCCATATCACTGGTACTATTCAATTTTGTCATCGAAACCCTCTGCCTATTTATTAGAAATGATCAAGAATATAAGGGAATCGAATTTGGTACAAAAACGCTCAAAATGGTTGAATTTGCTGATGACCTTACTTGTCTAATGAAGGATTTTAAAACAGCAAGACATCTACTAGAAGTAATGAAACAATTTAAATTAATTTCTGGTCTATCAATAAATCTTACAAAAACTGAAGCATTTAATCTAAATAGCAAGTGTAAAAATATATCAAAATGTATCTCCAACTTAGGACTAAACCTATGTACGTCATCAATTAAAATTTTAGGTATTCATTTTACAACAAATAATGCTTTGAAAGACGAATTAAATTTTAAGAATAAACTCAACAATATAGAAAATGTATTAAAAAGATGGGCAGAACAGAACACTAACATTAAGAGGCAAGATTTTGATACTTAAAACATTCTGTATATCAAAAATAGCATTACAAATCCAATCACTTTTCGTATCAATAGAAATAATTAACAGTTTTAATCAAATTTTCTTTAAATTTCTATGGAATGGGAACGATAAAATTAAAAGGGATGTGATATACCAACCAACTCAGAACGGGGGGTTGGGCATGATTAATTTTGAAGAATTTTTGGCGTGTAAAAGCCTATTTTGGGTGAAAAAGTTATTCAATGACGAATATCAGCCATGGAAGGAAGTATTAGAATATACTATTATGCCATACAATCCGCGATTATTATGTACATGTAATTACGAATCTAAATGTATAAATATAAAATCCCAATTTTACTACCAGCTTTTTAAAAACTGGTATCAAATCTATAACCAATATATTAATAAGATTTCTCCAATTCAATCCCAAATAGCATATTTTAATAAAAATGTCAAAATAAAAACAGATGAAAATATGATCCTTAATATGATAAAGAAAAATTGTATCTTTGTTTCTGATTTTCTAAGTAATACATTAAATGAAACATTAAACGTCGCAGAAAAGTTAATCTTTAAAGGGTACAAAAAATCATGTTTAAAATTCGACGACGGGATACACAACGTTACAGATAAAACGAATAAGCACACAAATTATAAAAATGAAACATATTCTACTCTGAATAATGTTTTTCTTAAAATGTATCAATGTGATTTTCAAAAAGTTAAAGCTCGCGACATATATCATCAGAGAATAACCTCCAGATTTGTAAGACCAACAGCAATAGATAAATGGGAAACGGATTTAGATATATCACTAGATCAAGAAGCTATCAGAGAAATATTTAAAAGAATCTACTTAGTCTGTCCAGACGAAAAAAAATGGAAACTTTCAATATAAATATATTCATAAAATACATAACTAACGAGAAACTATATAAATTCAAAAAAGTTAACTCCACCCTCTGTGATTTTTGTAACTCGACAATCGAAACTGTTGATCACCTATTCATTCAATGTACACACACACAAACTTTATGGAGTAGGGTACATGAAGTATTTGATAACAATGAAATCGCGATTAATTTAAATAAAAAATCTATACATTTGGGAATAGACCTCAACCAAGTAGATAATCTTGCCCAGTACCAATTTGTTAATCACATTATTATCTTAACAAAATATTATATATTTAGATGTAAATGTAATCAAATATCTGTCAGTCCAAGTCATCTAATGTCATATATGAGCTCGATAGCGTCTATAGAAAGAGAACAGGATCAAATAAACCATGATAAATTTAAATTATTTGATATTGTATTATAGGTAAAAATAGCATATGTATTACTGTAGTACGAGAATAGCATATTTGATATTGTATTATATGTAAAGTGTAAAAATATGGATACTGTAAATAAACTTATATGTAAAAAAAAAAAAAAAAAAAAAAAAGAAAGTACAACAAATAGCTGCCCAAACACTGGCCGATTCCTAGACCAACGGGGATTTCACGGTAACTGGAAGATCACGATTTTCTGGATTATGTCTAGTCAACGATTGAAGAGTCGCAGTTGTGATGAGTTGTTCGGGTTTACTTTCTATCAAAACGTAAATCCGACCGGCGACATGGGCGAACGGAATGCTATCAGTTAATCACTTTCTCTTTTGCACGTTGGACGCCCAGGTTCCTCACCACCCACTAAAAACAAAGTAAATATTAAAACTTCTCAAGAGACTCAGGTATACACCCAAGGTGGTATCTAATACTCTAGGTTGAGAACAATGGTTTTGGGCGTTTTCAATGAAACATCCCTGTTAACTCATCAACAGGTTTTCACCTTGAAATTAAAGGAACTTAAAGCATCAACAAAACGTTAATTTCTAGGCATTTCATAATAAAATGTTATTTTACAAGACATAACATGGACCTATTTCATCTTGGGCGAGTAAGTGTTGTTGATGATACGCTTTGAACATCATCTAGTTGCAGGATAATTGGCACCATATCTATTAAGTATATTATTCACCATAGCTGTTTCTTGTCTTCAGTACGAGGGGTAAACTTTCGGTGTGCCGTGATAGGAGTATTTAAATGGATTATGTTTTAAGAAAGGTTGTTGTGATATGGCCATAACACGTAGTGGGGTTTTTGGGGTTGGTTCTTTTTGCTGAAACCAATCAGAAGTGGTCGTATCTAGTGGTATGCGCCCTTCCTTGGGAGCAGAATATAATTTAGGGAATCTCCTGTGGACGGGTGGGAATTCTGTTTTATTTCCCATATAGCAAGTTCTATATTCGGTATCTATGTAATATGGAGGGTCTACTCTATGACTAGGGTGGCCTAGGTGATAGGAATCTGTTAAATGCTGTCGTTTATGTAATGAAGCTAAATGTCTTCCTAAATTTCTTGTTTCTTTCCCCTAAAACATAAAAGAGAAAATGTAACCAAAACTTTTGGCTCTTCATTTATTTCTCCCTGCTTGGTTCCAATTTCTTTAATGCTCGAATGGTTACCAAAAGATATCGTAAGCTATGGTGCTGAGGTCGAACTTGCAACTGCTGGAATGAAGGGAAACTGGATTTTCACGGACTACTATAGCAACTGTTGGTATCTGAGACATCTGATACATCTGATCAATCACTGAACAGGGAGCATACGGTGGGTTCGTTTTGCCGCATTGCCCAACTTGCCGCATCGTGCCCAACTGCACAAAAACGACTTGTAAAACGAAACTAAAGGTTTCTGATAAAATCCGGAATGGCCGTTTGTTTCACATGAAACGAAATATTTTAATATGGTGTCCCGCATCGATTTTTATACGCCAACATCTCTCTATGTCGACGTATATTGTCGGCACCCCCGTCCGTCCGTCAACATTTGCTTGTAAACGCTCTAAAAACTAGATTTTTTGATGGAATCAAATGAAATTCGGTATGTGTATACATATTCATGAAACGAAGATCAAGTTCGAATTTGAGCTAGTTTAGAAGCAGAGTTGTTGCCCTTGCCAAAAAGTCTTGAATATTTACCATCTGCATTCCGTGGTGGACGTATATGGCTGTGGTCCACTATCTAATCGCAGGTTCGTCGATTTTTGTAGTTCCTAGTGTGGAGCTAATCAACCCCTTCTACCTTGTCCACCAGGACATTCTGGGACTTATCTGGAATCAGTGGGGGTTGAGCCACTGCCGAATTATAGAGCACATCGAATACGAGAATTTTAAACTTCCCCTTGCTTGATAATTCTGATTTACTATTCAGAAAATTTTCACTTTCAGACATTTCAGTTGCCATTTTTTCTAGCACGAGGGTGGCGTTATTGGCGCGTAGTAGAGGGACATAACTCTCGCAAGTTATTACCAAATTTATTTATTGCACTTGTCTTGTTTCGTTTTATGGATTTATGTATTTTGTTTTACGGTACTGGTCGTTTGTACTTGGTATTTATTTTATTCCAGATTTTACCAAAAACTATAGTTTCGATTTCCCTAACAGGTCCAAATAATACGTAATAAAAAAAAAAAATGCGGGACAACAGATTAAAATATTTCGTTTCATGTAAAAAAAATGGCCATTCCGGATTTTATCAGAATCCTTTAGTTTCGTTTTACATGTCGTTTTTGTGCAGTTGGGCACGGTGTAGCAAGGTGGGCAATGCGGCAAAACGAACCCACCGGTGAGCATATCCAAACTCGCGATCTTTCCAACAAAAAAGGATCTAGTTTGAATACATGCGACCATTCATCAGCAGTCAATGTATTTGTCTAAGTGAATGTGGACTGTCAATGGTCATGAAAAGCTATGGAATCTCCTTAGTTTGTGTAGTGCCATAGTGGTGGAGTCAACAACAGATAACAAAGGAAGCCCGTGCCCCGAATATATAGCTTACTACTCACATTCCCAAAATATGAACCATCACTCTGTAACAAATGTCGATTATCATGTTCTGAGAATTTATTCGAATCTTCCTGTAAATAGACAGAATATAAAATGATAAAAATGTGTTCGATACTCTAATGTGATGTTGCGGACAAAAAAAACAGACCTGGCACCTGGTTAAACAACCTCACGAAATGTACGAAATGTAATAAACGTCAAGGGTGGTACTTGATAATTCTGTAGCCCCTTCACGAAACGCCACTGACCCCGGGGTCAAAGATGTGATAAACGTTTAATGTCCAATGGGTTGGCATGTTTCTTCAGCATCTTTGAAAAAGGACCATGATGGTTGGGTTAGACTCTAAACATAGTTTCATGCACTTACATCATTTTTGTTAGTAAAAGGTGTGGGTGGTGGCGCTGGTTTGTTTCTATTTCTACTATCAAATGGTGCAGACATCATTCTTCCTGTTGATGTAGCCTCACTTCTCTCTAAACTGTTTTTTTCTGTCCCTATGTGCTGGAACTGAAATTACAGTAATAAATAGATTATGACATGATTCTCGAATTTTGGAGATCATTCCTGCTTAGTATACTTCTCCACAAAAGGAAAAGAAAATTCGTATTCTTTTTTTTTATATTCTAAACAAACCGTTTTGACTAATATATGATATATCTACTCCGAATTTCAAAACAGAACTCAATATATCAATAGAGAATCACATTTATACTTTAAAACATGATATGATTCTCACACCCTTAGACCTATATGATAAAGATTAGGTAAGGAATTGCAAAAACTGTTCGTGGTTGAATGAAAAAAAACCTTTTTGATGACTGACAAATAATATTTTAAAAGTGTTAGATAGTTATGTTGTTTTGTGTTGTAAAAACTTATTAAAGTTTTATATCTTCAGAAGTATTTGACACAAATCGACTGAGTATAGAATATAGATACAAAGAATACGTATTTATTGCTACTTGTTTTGAAATCTGATATTGATTATAGTTTTAAGTTGAATAGTAAAGGATCGATTAATCTCGAGAAGGTTGAAATCAATAGCTGTGATTTATTATAATAGAGGATTATAGTCTAATCTTGGACTGTTAAAATCATGTTGTTGGCAGGTAAAAATCGTTAAAGTCGTTACAACATTGTTTTATTGCATTCAATTCGACTTATTTTAAAACACCTGATCACGAATACTTTTATATAAACTAGTTCATGAAAACGGAAAGAAGCGTTAATTTTGATATATAACACAATAATAACCCAATGATAATAAACTATTTGAAAGAATGAATCAACATCTCCTAAATAATAATCGATATTATCCTCAGGCAGATAGATATAAAACAACGGTTCCATGAGTCAAAACAATTATACCATTATTCAAAACATTGTTCTGTTCTTGTGTCCATATTATAAACTTGTATAATCAAATCAAAATGGGTCGTTTCCAGGCTAATTAATGTAATCAGCACGTTTACATAGATTTACATTTTCGGCTGATAAAAATATCGTTATCAAGTTATATGCGATATTATATGTTTCCTACATCGGTAAGTCAAGTGTAGAGATCCGAGAAACATTCCCCTCTGAATTTAGTTTTTCCTTTGCATCTAAATGTGACGCATTAAAAAGTCTAGATAGGACTAGATTGACATTGCAAAAATACGAAAATGATGTTAATATCAGAGCTCTCTGATAACTTTCTGATAACAGAAATAGACAGAAAATAAATCTCTGTGTACTTACCCACAAACCATCTGTTTCGTTTGAAGGAACACACATTCGACCTTTAACCATTTTGAATTATAAAGAATAAATTATTACAGAAAGTGATTGTGAGAAACTCAATAGAACACACATATATATATATTACTATTGTTGTTTTTTTCACTTCTTCATAATAAAAGAGAACAACAACAACAGTTCCTTTCTTACTGATAAACACTAAAGCTCATTGTCACATACAGGTGTTTAGTTACTATAGGTAAACAGAACTACTAAATCACAACCAATTACTAACGTGAGATTATGTCATTATCATTATCATAATCCATGTTTGTTAATATATTCTAAACATTACCCCTTATCTCCACGTACTATACTTATTACAATCAAACGTTGCTAAGTTATTACAATAAGAACAGTAGTCAGGGGACGTCACTCAAGGATAATGAATGCATTATATTTTGAAACTGGATTAATAACAAGGTGAAAATATATATCCATGTAGGCTACACACTATCTGGTAAACCTCTTATTCACAATAAAAAGATACGAAACAATCAAGCAAAATCAAGTATTTCTGCTATCTCTATTGACTAATTGACACTATTTAGGCTACTTCAAGAATTTTCTAATATTGGCTGGACCCTACAAAGTCAACAAAGAATAAAACATGATATCAAGATGTGTTAAGCCTACAACTTTAAATTCCTATATTTAATCTCACTTAATGCCAGAAATAAGATAATCACAGAAATCATATATGGTCACGATGGATCGGTCTTCGAAATACCTATTTGAAGATAATAGTTATAGGCTAGCCACGAGTAGCCTACAAAATGCAGAGACAGTCACTGAAAACTAGTAATTTCTCTTCGAGGCCCTATCCTCTCAAAATCTTAGCAAAGACTACCCCATGCAACCCAAAAGCCTAAGAAACTGTCCTACCAGAATGAAATCATTGTGACCAATTCGTCATATCTTGACCAATTTTCTTGTGACTAATTTATTATTTGTGAGCAAATTTTCATGTCTTAACTGTTTGCGTCCCTACTTACTGAGCCTTTTAGCCACATATTTTCATGCTAGAATTCTGTGCTTTGTATCAAAAGCAACTTCAAGAACTGTGTCTGAACTCCTACCCATTCTCTGCAAAAAGTGTGCCTTACTTTGAGTCAGTTCCATATTATCCATATTTTGTTGGTTTTCTGTCCCATTTCTAAACTGAATGTTTGCTCTTTTGACGTTACTTCAGTTTGCTCAACTGACGTCAAGTAGTAACGATCACCAACACGTCAGTTCTGTCTCCAAATAAAAAAAATCCAAAAAGTTGACATTGTAGTGTAGGCTGGGGTTGCCTCCGACTGGCGTAGTGAAAGTTCTCTATGACGTTACATGAACTTTTGCAACCAGTCTTTTCCAGCAGCCTCGTTCTTGAATTGATGGGGAATATTATTCCGTTCCGCCATTTGGAATGCCAAGCTAAGCACACCCTTGTTGGTTACCCCAAACATCATCCCTTCCATAGTTAGAATGTATCGGACTAGTGCCATTTCCATTTTTTCAGAGAAAACCGACGTGAAACGACCAAGAATCTTGGATGAGCCCTTAACATTCCTGTTCTGATCCAGGTTCCGTCGCTTTAGTGTATTTCTAGGAACGCCAAATTCTTTGGCCGCCCTCTTATATCCCATTTCACCTTTCTGCAGAGTGGAAAGGGCTGCCTCCATTGAGACTGTTGTCCACGATTGTCGATTGCTAATATTTTGGTAGTTTCTGGGCATCTTTAAGTCTTATAGCTTCACCCTGTTATTGAAAGAAAGAAGAACTGTCAGTGGGTTTGAATGACAAAGTTAATGACAAATGATGGACGTCGTGGGGTCAAATGAGCCATTTTGATATAAATATGGCTACACGGGAAAATTTACAGATCGAGTAGGAAGTTTAAGCCGTTATTTTTGATAACTTATCTCTACCAAAGATGGCTGCGACAATTAACAACGATTCAAGGGAGGGGGGGGGGGGGGGATATTACCAGAGGGGGCCATTTTTGCCCCACTCCACCTACGACGTTTTTGATAATGAAGATGTTTTACAAAATAAAGCGGAATGCCTCTTTCATTGATATTAAATATCTTATGGCCATATGATAAAGGCTTTACACGAATTAACTCCCTTTATATGTATTGAACGTTAATGTATTTTTGTCAAAGTAGCTCTAAAGGCACAGAATGCACCAACTTTTATAAATAAAACATAGGAAATTATACATGAAAAGATTTCTAAAATATACACTTGATCAACTTGAGGTCATTTATAAAGTGGTAATAAAAAACGCAGCGTACTAATTCTTCTTAGTTTTGATCTAGTTTTGTGTTTGGCTTTATAACGGCTCTATATCTTACTTAAAACCTTCAGAATAAGGAGACACAGTCATTTCCCTATATTTGGCATTTATTTTGCTGAAATTCGTGCACCAACAACAACATCAATAAAAAAAATACGTATAGCGACTTTAAAATTAGCCTAAACCTTTTGACTAATTTTGTCGTTTTAAATTTAACTGATTCTTTAAGTTTAAACATAAGTTATAATTTTCATAAATTTGATAAAAAAAAAAAAGGATTTCCCAATGTATTTTATATAGTGTTTATGGGCTAAAAATTCAGTGTCTCAATGACATATTGCTTTTCAGACGAGGTACACAAATCAGTTTCCTCACAGTTCTTTTTAAGTAGCTGCGAGCTTCCTATCCGCGTGAGCACCTACAACCATCTATTATAGTCCCGAATCTGTTGAAAGCAGACGCTTGTCATTTACGAACCACGTCGGCCCTATTTAGAACTACTTTTCCGAAAACGGAATAAAAATTTACAATATTGGAATAAATAAAAAAGCAGGGACAGTAGGCCTAAGTAAAACTTTCATTATTATAAATGTATAGTGTTGCGGACTATGTCGAAGAACCGAAGGCCCATTCTAAATATGTTTTAGTCGATGACAATCTATCTTATACTAATTCTATTTTACACATAGTAAATTGCAATATTTTATGAAATATTATTTCTATGTATCTACCTGATGAACCTGAATTTGTTTAAAATCATGATATTGTTAATTAAAGATTGAACTTATTTTGGTATTTTCGTCCAGTGCAAGTTGAGAATGTAAGGAATTAGCTTGTATCCATTCTACAGTTTTCAATTCTTGACAGAATCTTTTCAATGTTGAGGAATGTTTCTTTTATCAGAGTAAGAATGATCGCTGTTGATTTTGGTGATTGGAAATTTTGAATGCTCGCCCAGGTTCGGCTTTAATTTGTTTGTAAATGTTATGATTTAAATTTGTTTAAAAAGTATAATTATTAGGATATTTTAAAAAATTGTAAATGGAAAAATTGTCTGAATGTCAGACATGAATGCCCGTAACAAAGGTAATGAAAAATAAGTGGTCAAACAGTTTACCGGTAACGTCAAGGTTATAGTTATGTAGATAAGGTATGCTGAAGAGTTCATTTAAGGACAACCCTTGCTTTGACCGTTCATAACCTTTTCATCAATTTGATATTTCACTAAACTTATTAACATTTTACGGTGACATATTTTCATAAACATCAAGAATATTCGGAAGAAAGATGGCGATTGGTACATTTTCCAAATTTATCTAACCAGATATTTTATCATCAATCATTTTATAGAATTTTTGTCACTATATAAGCCTAAACATCAATACAATATTTATATCATGAATAATCAATAATAGACAGTTGTTATATCATTATTTTGGAAAAAACAGTTTACAATATTGATAATTTATATCATGAACAAACTGTGTATTATATTTAATACCATGAACAAACTGTGTACTATATTTAGATTATGAACAAACTGTGTACTATATTTAATATCATGAACAAACTGTGTACTATATTTAGATTATGAACAAACTGTGTACTATATTAATATTATGAACAAACTGTGTACTATATTTAATATCATGAACAAACTGTGTACTAAATTTATCTTTTTATTATGAACAAACTGACAGTGTACTATATTTAATATCATGAACAAACTGTGTACTATATTAATATCATGAACAAACTGTGTACTATATCTAATATCATGAGCAAACTGTGTACTATATTTAGATTATGAACAAACTGTGTACTATATTAATATTATGAAAAAACTATGTACTATATTTATATTTATATCATGAACAAACTGTGTACTATATTTAATATCATGAACAAACTGTGTACTATATTTAATATCATGAACAAACTGTGTACTATATTTAGATTATGAACAAACTGTGTACTATATTAATATTATGAAAAAACTATGTACTATATTTATATTTATATCATGAACAAACTGTGTACTATATTTAATATCATGAACAAACTGTGTACTAAATTTATCTTTTTATTATGAACAAACTGACAGTGTACTATATTTAATATCATGAACAAACTGTGTACTATATTAATATCATGAACAAACTGTGTACTATATCTAATATCATGAACAAACTGTGTACTATATTTAGATTATGAACAAACTGTGTACTATATTAATATTATGAAAAAACTATGTACTATATTCATATTTATATCATGAACAAACTGTGTACTATATTTAATATCATGAACAAACTGTGTACTATATTTAGATTATGAACAAATTGTGTACTCTATTTAATATTATGAACAAACTGTGTACTATATTTAATATCATGAACAAACTGTGTACTATATTTATATTATGAATAAACTGTGTACTATATTTGTATTATGAACAAACTGTGTACTATATTTATATCATGAACAAACTGTGTACTATATTTATATTATGAACAAAATGTGTACTATATTTATATAATGAATAAACTGTGTACTATATTTATATTATGAATAAACTGACAGTGTAGGCCTAATATATTTATATCATGAACAAACTGTGTACTATATTTATATTATGAATAAACTGTGTACTATATTTGTATTATGAACAAACTGTGTTCTATATTTATATCATGAACAAACTGTGTACTATATTTATATTATGAACAAAATGTGTACTATATTTATATAATGAATAAACTGTGTACTATATTTATATTATGAATAAACTGACAGTGTAGGCCTAATATATTTTTATCATGAACAAAATGTGAACTATATTTATATAATGAACAAACTGTGTACTATATTTAGATTATGAATAAACTGTGTACTATATTTATATTATGAACAAACTGTGTACTATATTTATATCATGAACAAACTGTGTACTATATTCATATTATGAACAAAATGTGTACTATATTTATATAATGAATAAACTGTGTACTATATTTATATTATGAATAAACTGTGTACTATATTTATATCATGAACAAACTGTGTACTATATTTATATTATGAATAAACTGTGTACTATATTTATATTATGAATAGACTGTGTACTTTATTTATATTATGAATAAACTGTGTACTATATTTATATTATGAACAAACTGTGTACTATATTTATATCATGAACAAACTGTGTACTATATTTATATTATGAATAAACTGTGTACTATATTTATATTATGAACAAAATGTGTACTATATTTAAATAATGAATAAACTGTGTACTATATTTATATTATGAATAAACTGACAGTGTAGGCCTAATATATTTATATCATGAACAAACTGTGTACTATATCTATATTATGAATAAACTGTGTACTATATTTATATTATGAATAAACTGACAGTGTAGGCCTAATATATTTTTTTATGAACAAACTGTGTGCTATGTTTTGTTATATCATGAACAAACTGTTAACAATATTTATATTTATTTTATAAAACAGTTTAAGATAATTATATTTTATATAATGATTAAACTGTTTTAATATTTCTATATCGTTCTACAATTGTATTGAGCAATATTTCAAGAGTGAAAATATTTTATTATTGTATTTTAAACACAAATAGTGTGCAATATTTATACATTATTTTGAACTAACGGTGTACTATATTTTATATTATATGAAGAAAAAAGTTTATATTATTTATATTTTACATTATGAACAAACTGTGTACTGTGTACTATATTTTTATTTTATATCATGAACGAATATTATATACAATATTTATATTCATGTTATGAACAAACAAAAAAATTGAAGTTTCATTTTCTTTGTTTATCATTAAGCTATATATAGGCACAGCTTTATGGACCAACAATCACTGGTTAAACTGTGCCTATATATCGTACTCACAATTGCTAAATGCCATTCAAAGACTTTATCATTAAGCCGTTATTTGTACCTCTACAAATATTTCCTCAAGCTATTTTATTTTGAATACTGCTTCAGTAGAAAACGTTATTACACATCATGATTGTAGGCAAAGGCATTATGGCACTGAGTAACCTGGGTATCTTGTTCCGGTCATGTTTGGGTCATTTTGAGCTTTCAATAGTTTTGTTACGTCATATTCAATGCTCTCATCTTTGACTATTTTCTTTAAAAGGTCAACAACAATATGGGCGTGATAACAATGGCATTTTAGTGGTATCCCAATTAACTGACTATTGCAATCTGTATCGCATTCTAATTACTTTCTATACAGGCTAAGTTTGGGATAGAAGGAGTCAAAGCAGAAAGTCACTGAAATTGTACCAGACAATTATACGAAGGAAATGCCTCATCAAAGTTCTCAAGGTGTTGAAAAAATTATTATAATTGTGAATTTTACTTCAGTCACCATAAAAGTATGATTTATTTTGAGAGTGACTAGAATAATCGAACGATATAATTACAATTGTTGTCAATACGATTCCGCCACTTTGCCTTTTTCGTTCAAGAGAATTTGTACATTGTACAGATAACGGATAGCTTCAACATGTTTGTCGGTAATTTTGTCATAATATTTTTGGTAAGCAAATATAGATAAATGTACCCTAATGTTCATTTTCTGATTTTCTGGACCTTCTGAATGCGATACTTTTCGAAGTAAAAAAACGCTTGCACTTTCATATCACATACTAAAATATACATGGTAGGATTTCGGACTATTTGTAAATTATTGTAATTCATACAAGAAAGGGTAGCATGTACCCAATTTTATCTATAAAGCTATTCTTTGTGGTCACTTGACCAGACAAATTTTGACACAGTAACCGTTCGGTGACACCAGATAGACAATGATATTCGAAAGTCAGTTCAAGAAATTGAGTGTGTATTATGTAGGTAGATATAATAATATATAAATTATTATTGTGGTAGATAGAATTGGTTTATAAACAGTACGATAGTCAATGAACTGAATGATATCTTGGCCAATAATTTCTAAATATGTTTATTCATTAAGTTTAATGAGATGGATAGGTTGGAAGGTTAGAAGTTGTTTACTACCAGAGTTTACGACCAAAACTTCAAAAACAAAGATGGGTTACTCCTATACGTATCCTGCACGGCGTATCACAAGCCTGAAACATACTACAAGTATATGTCACTCTTGTTACAAACTGTATTTATATCGAAATAAATTATTTTCTACTCTTGGCATACCCTAAATTGCACTGATATAAAGTGTTTTCAATGGAAATATGAAATGTTTTACATTTGCAATATAAGATGTTTTACATTTGAAATATATAATATTTCGCATTTGCAACATTAAATGTTTTACATTTGAAATAGTAATTGAAATACTGTAGTTTACACCTGAAATATACTATAATTTACACTTAAAATATACTGCAGTTTACACCTGAAATATACTATAATTTACACTTGATTTTCACTATATTTTACACCTAAATAACACTATATTTTACACTTGAAATGTACTGTAGTTTACACCTGGAATATACTATAATTTACACTTAAAATATACTGCAGTTTACACCTGAAATATACTATAATTTACACTTAAAATATACTGCAGTTTACACCTGAAATATACTATAATTTACACTTGATTTACACCATATTTTACACCTAAAATACACTATATTTTACACTTGAAATACACTATATTTTACATCTGAAATATACTATAATTTACACTTGAAATACACTATATTTTACACCTAAAATACACTATATTTACACTTGAAATGCACTGCAGTTTACACCTGAAATATACTATAATTTAGACTTAAAATATACTGCAGTTTACACCTGAAATATACTATGATTTACACTTGATTTACACTATGTTTTACACCTAAATAACACTATATTTTACACTTGAAATGTACTGTAATTTACACCTGAAATATACTATAATTTACACTTAAAATATACTGCAGTTTACACCTGAAATGTACTATAATTTACACTTGATTTACACTATATTTTACACCTAAATAACACTATATTTTACACTTGAAATATACTGTAGTTTACACCTGAAATATACTATAATTTACACTTGAAATATACTGCAGTTTACACCTGAAATATACTATAATTTACACTTGATTTACACTATATTTTACACCTAAATAACACTATATTTTACACTTGAAATGTACTGTAGTTTACACCTGAAATATACTATAATTTACACTTAAAATATACTGCAGTTTACACCTGAAATATACTATAATTTACACTTGAAATATACTGCAGTTTACACCTGAAATATACTATAATTTACACTTGATTTACACTATATTTTACACCTAAATAACACTATATTTTACACTTGAAATGTACTGTAGTTTACACCTGAAATATACTATAATTTACACTTAAAATATACTGCAGTTTACACCTGAAATATACTATAATTTACACTTGAAATACACTATATTTTACACCTGAAATACACTATATTTTACACTTGAAATACACTATATTTTACACCTGAAATATAGTATAATTTACACTTGATTTACACTATATTTTACACCTTTAATACACTATATTTGACACTTGAAGACACTGTAGTTTACACCTGAAATATACTCTAGTTTACAATTGAAAATGACTTTTTAATGGAAAAACATATCTCCAAACCTCTTGCACTGCAATGGAGAAACGCTTTGCGCCGAGTTATGCTTTCATTTTTATGGCCAAGAGGAAGATTCTTAGATGCCTTTTTTTATCTCTTAGACAGAAACTGTTGTAAACTTTTGGGAACATTTCGAAATCTTTAATAATCCTTCCGTCAAGCTAACTGTAAATAATTCCGAAAAGGCGAAGCATTTCAACCTACTCAGTCATCCCATTGAAGATATTCTTGTCATGCCCATTGAAAAAGTTTCCTTATTAGTTTCTAGATCGACCAATTGCAAATTGTAGTACCTAACAATCAAATAGTACACTTTGTTGCAACCTATAATTCCACTGCCAAAAATGCTTCTCTGATTATCAAACGATATTACAGAGGAATTTCAAGATCAATTTACGAATATTTTCACTGAACGTTTGGTTAATGCTTTTAAGAGAAACAAAAATCTAAGTAATTTACTGCCATTAACTCTCTGAAACAATTATGTGTTTTAAACAATTTATTTTATTATTTGTTAGCATTGTATTTCAGTCTTTTTAGAAGTTACATTGTTGTAATTTCTTTTTGCACACATCGCAGAACATTGATAGTAGCATTTCAATTTAATCTTTCTTACTCAAATTGATAATTGATGTAAAAGAAGTATGTTCTTTTCTTGTGACTTTGTCCAGTGCTTCTATAACATCCAACACTGAAATATACTCTAGTTTACACCTGAAATATACTGTATTTTTTATATTTTACACGTGATTGAAGTACATTTTACGCTGGAAATAACAATATTCTACACTTGAATTATTCCTAGTTTACACATGAACATATATTTTATTTTACAATGTTGTACTTGAAATATATCATATTATACTTGAAATATATTGAATTTTATACTTGAAATATTATATATGTTATACTTGAAATTTGACACTTGATCTTGTTTCAATGCAGCTTAAAATATTTTATTTGCGATGAATATAGTTCAGTACGGTTCAGTAAATGACATCTGATAAATTGCTGAGTGTTTAGGCTCTTTTTATTTTACTGTCATGTTATTTTTGTCAAGTTAGTCGATCAAACATCTACTGGAGAGTCCAGGGCATTAAGAAACACAACCTGAAAAGTCATAATTTGGCCACTAAATTCCTAGTCAAGAAATATTCTTCATCAAATTTACTTTTGAAAAATGTTGCATGTATGTTCATTGATTAATGTTTTAGGCTTGCTTTTCGACCGAATGAATGTAGCTGTTTTTCACGTTCGGATTAAACTTTATACATGCTTCAATATCATAAATTCATTGAGAGCTATTGTTAGAAAATAAGTTAATGGCGAAAAAGACGGTTGACTCTGAGTTCACTGTCCTCTTCGCCCCATCACTTTCTGAAGGTAGCATTTTCTTGGGGAAAGTGGAGTATAGACATTAATTACCTTTTTTATTCCCCCCACACCCAATCACCACTTGTTACGAACATTATTATGATAAACAGTTTACAAATTGTAATCCAAAAGTTCACTTCGAAGTAGGATTGCCAAAAATGTTTTCTTTTCTTTTATTCAACTTTTCATATTAACTTTTAAACTTTTCACTTGAAGTCATTTGAGGTGATAAGCAGTCAAGGGTATGTTTCACTTGAAAAATTACACAATGGTAATAATCGAAGTACACAACGTACTTATGTTTTCTTCGCTTAGTCGAAGTTCAACGAATATGTCTATATGAATTGGACTATCAGCTTCAAAATAGTAATGATAATTTTAGATTTTGATGAAATGGTATGTACAGTATTTCTGTATTAGATCATTTTGATAACGAAGGTCTTTATTATGTCATAATTTTTAAATGACGTGAAGTTTATGACGCTATTATAATGTTATAATCATTAATATCACCCAAATATCATTAGAATCACAAATACGTGATTGCCCTGGAGCTGTAGCGGTACTTTTAAGAGTAGAGATATTGGGGAAAAGTCGAGGTCGCTTAAACCACTAAACAGAGGCAATGAGTTCATTATTTGAATGGACAATATTTTGTATTTTTTAGTAGCCCATAATCTACCAGGTTTCTAAAACTTTTGAAAATAAGACCCCCCCCATAACTACTTCAACTCCTTCCCCCACAGGGTGATAAAATTCGACATTTACATTCATTATCATATTTTGCATAATTTATGTTTTTTTGCGATGTCATGGTTCAGCATATTATTTTGAAAACCCTCCATAACTATACAGTGAAGAGAAAGTGATAAAACCATTGCTGCAGTGAATACATTTTTATTTAAATCCCTAAAGTCTATTTTGGGTGCGGATTTGTAAAATTCGGACACCTGAGAAAAGAACCTTCCCCGGGGGTGAGGTTAATGCCATGTATTTAAACATTACAATTTGTTAGTTTAGGACTGATTACGTTGATGACCTAAGGTTCAGAGTTCATCCGGCGACAATCAAAGCAAAAGTTCTTTATTTCAAAACCCACCCATTTCATGACGTCTTGTGACCTTATAAAGGAGGTTGTCGATTACGCCTGGAGTTCGAATGATAAAGAGGCGGGAAGACCCCAACTTTAATCTTCCTATAAAAACCTATCGTTTGATTGAAATCCAACCAAATATCATATATACCTCGTATAGTCAAGTCTCGTGGAACACTTCGCCAGAAACCTGATAAGACAGTTATTCCAGTTACAGTCATGGATATGTAAGTTTTTAAAATTTGTCATGTTTTAATTTTTTTTAATTCATTAATTTTGAATGTCGCCAATTGTTTTGACAAAAATATTTCGTGATAAATGGTTAAAAGTATTAATAATTAGTACTATAGAATAAAGTACATGTAATATTGAAAAAAAAAACAGTGAATAAATATTATTGGTTCGTCCGCAATAATACATGAGTTTATCATAAAAAATTTTAAACTCCTCAACTTGATGACAAATGATAGATCTGCCAGTTTAAGATTAGGCAGCTAAAATCTTCTTTAATTATAATCTGCATTATGTTGGTATGTTACATGATATTGAACAATTAGATAAAACCAAGTGAGTGATCTGCTTTAAATCCTTTATCTAGATTTAAAGTTACGTATAAAGATACACAAAAGCTATAAAACATGTACTGTATACAGAGGTCAAATTTTGCAGGTCATACATAACTTACAGCATTAGGAAAGATTGGGTGTTTTTCTATTCTTTACATTATTCTTATGTATGTGAGATATAAAAAGAAACCAATCAACAGCATATTTCGGGATTTAAAAAAAAGGAATGCTGTATGGTTTAAAATCTGAGAGCCCACTAATTCTTAGAATTGCTTTGAGATTCCAAATGCCATGGTTGACTGATATTACTTATTTCTGAAGTGATTTTGAGGAAGGATTTAAAATAAAACTTCTTTTTCAGGTCAAATGTTACAATATCAAACAATCTACCAACAGAAATCTTGAAATATTTGTCTCCTGCTATATCACCGACTGTCTTAATAGTGGTTTCGTGGAAACTATGGAATATTTATTATAATGTATCTAAAGACCCAACTTTATCACTGCCACTACCTCCTGGAAGTCTTGGTATTCCACTTCTGGGTGAAACTATTAGTTTTATCATATCGGTGAGTATATTAATCTTTGTACTATATTATTAGCCATTCAGAGAAAGTTATAATAGACAAATGTTTCAATAGACAAAATCCTTGTCCTAAAATACATGTACTCGCATTGTACCAAACTTCTATATTATTTCCATATTTGTTCATGCGTATATTTCACTGAGCTTAATAACATTCTTCTCTACCATGATGTCACAATGTCCTTCTGTTCATTTTCTAGGGTGCAAACTTCTTTAGAAGTAGGAAGAAATTTTATGGAGACATTTTTAAGACACACATCCTTGGAAATCCTACTATTAGAGTATCTGGACCTCAAAATGTTCGAACAATCTTAATGGGTGAAAATTCCTTGGTAACAACGTACTGGCCAACAAGTGTCCGTATGTTGATGGGAGACGGAGCAGTTTCTCATGCTGTTGGTGCCACTCATAAACTAAGAAGAAAAGCCTTATTGAAAGCCTTCAGCCACAATGCCTTATCGTCGTATGTACCAGTTATACAACAGGTTGTCCAACAATTTATCAGAAAGTGGTGCCATGAAGGTTATGTATTCGGTTATCCGGAATGTAAAAGAATGACCTTTAAAGTGGCGTGTCAAATATTAGTAGGGTTTGATATGGTACAGTCCGAACATCAGAAATTATTAACTGTATTTAGAGTGTTTCTTGATAATCTCTTCTCATTACCGCTGAATATACCTGGTACAGGTCTGTCAAAGGTATGTATATAAAGTTTAATTTTTCTTTTCGAATTTCACGAATTTACACCAGGCTGTTAACCATTTATAAATCCTTCCTAAAAATTTGATTAGTGGGTTATGTTTATACGCTAGTTAGGCCTACTACAGGCACAAAAGAGCAAACGATTGAAAAACGAATGCCTATTTACATTCCAAAGTATCTATTTTAGTGGAAAGTCATAATGTAGAAAACCGTTATCCACATTGAAATATCAATTTTGTATTGTTTTTTTTTTCAGGGAATGAAAGCGAGAAAAGTCTTACTAGCAAAAATCGAAGAGTGCATTAAAGATAAATATAAGAAATCTGGTGCTGATTTTAAAGATGCCATGATGTTAATGATGGATATGAGTGACGATGAAAAACTTAACTTGGAAGAGTTAAAAGATGTCGGGTTAGAGTTGTTGTTTGCTGGACATGCTACTTGTGCTAGCGCTGCAGCCTCCCTACTCTCTCAGCTAGCCAAAAATAAGAGTGTTGTAGATAAAATCGCTGGCGAGCTTCTTGAATATGGGTTAGATGAAGACACCAAAAAAATAACGTTAGATGATATCAATAAATTAACTTACGTATCAAATGTGGTTAAAGAAACATTACGAATATCACCACCGGTTGGTGCTGGGTTTAGAAAAGTTATCAAGTCTTTTGAACTGGATGTAAGTATATCAATTGTTATATTATCTTTGATCCCCAACCAATTAATTAAGTCAAGCTCTTTAAAAAGATCTGAAGAATCTACCATCACCGCCATGGAATTCTAGCATTCGAACTCGCGCATTCGAAATTGAATTTTTCTAGTATAAACACACCTGTATAACTGTTTGGCACTGTGGTTGGAGCTGATTCTTATGTCGAGGTTTCTTTAACTGCTAATATATGATAACCTATCCATTTGTTATAAATTTTAGGGATACCAAATACCAAAGGGTTGGACTCTAGCTTACAGTATAAGGGAGACACAAGAAGCTGCCGAGGTGTTTAATCATGGGGAAAAATTTGCTCCAGAAAGATGGAATAGCATTAAGGATGAAAAGTTTAGTTATTTACCGTTTGGTGGTGGTGGACGTGCTTGTGTTGGGAAAGAATTAGCTAAATTAGTGCTAAAAATATTCGCAATTGAACTATCCAGAAGTTGTAAATGGAGATTGTTAAACGAATCAGCCAAAATAAACTATTTACCAGTGCCACATGCCTCCGATGGTTTACCTATAGAATTCTCACAAATCATTACCAACAGACCTCGTGCTTTTACTTTTTAGACAATAATAATAACTACCTGCCAAATACTGCAAGACTGTTCAATAGCAAAGAATTCATTTCCAGTTGGAATCGTCCTATAGGGGCATTAACGCACAAGAATCCATAGAGTTCCAAGTGGAAAAAAGAAGTTTGCAATATGCTTTGAAATGGAGTATACCTGTCATAATAACATACACATGTCGTGGAGAAAATATCGAAATAAAGAAGACATTTACCGTTGTATTTTCGCCATTGTGTATCATAATGTACCTAGTCAATCATACTATCTAGAACTAGTTGTGTAATTTAATAATATAATAATTTTTATTTGAAATGTTCTTCACTAATAAACACGTCATCTTTTTAAAACAATGTCCATAAATGGGGCATCTTCTATCAAAATGTTAAGCTTTTGCGAACTGCATACTTATACCTTGACTGTAATAGCCACTAATTGAAATAGAGTATGCTTATACCACTGTCCTTAATGCATACTTCATGGTGTTGCCCGCCTTCATCAGCCCATATGGATGTAAAACTCCTTTTAATTTTTGCAATGGCCACAATTCTTGTATCACAGAACGCGGCGATTTGATTTGATTGTACGCCGGCAAATACAGCACCTTCGTGACCTCCGATTGACTGTATTAGCTGGATTAAAAAACATTCATGATACAAGAAAGTGACTATTGCAGTTAAGGCATGAGTAGGCTACGAAGTTCGTAACAGCTTGACATTGCGAAGATGAAATGGAGGAGGGGTGTCAAATTGTCCAAAGGAATGCGCCATTTTCTATTAGGCTATCTTTCTAAGTCAGGCTTTTCATTCACGTATTTTCTTCTGTGGGGCCCAGTAGACCCTAGGTCAGCGAATCTATAAATATCTACCCTAGGTAATACGTACTTTTATCAAAGTAAACCCAAATTGCAAAAATTCAATCTGAACTCTGCAGATGTCCTGAACACGGTCGCTATCTCATAGTACAAAGTTAGGTCATGACCTGTAAAGTATAATTGAAAAAGAATGTGAAGGTGTGGTCATGGCATCTCAATCAACATATGTTTCTATTCTTTCCAGTTTCCGATTGTTTATGGTTATATAATAGGCAAGGTGAAGATGGGGTCAAAATAGTCCAAATATTACAGTGGATTTCTAATAGGTCATCTCGTTTATTGATGTCATACCTTTTCTCAATCAACCAAATTTTCCCGCCAATTTAATCTTAAGCAATGCGCATGCACAACATATATTTCAGGATGGGTTTCTCTTGTTGATGATGACCGGGTCATGTTAAATGAAAGCTTGTTGTGATATGAGTTCAGATGAATGGAGAACTTTGAAAGGATTATGTCATTAATGTTTTTCAATCTCATTATAAAGTTAAGGTTGTACGTCACGTACTCAAAACGACCTTTCTCAGTTCAAGTGTCAAAGCCGGGTGAACCATGTGCCTCTGAAAGAAGCAATCAAAAATAACACCAGATTTTCGAGGCATACAATTTTTCAAAGATGTCAGTCTGTCTGATTTAAAAAGAAAAATATAACAGACCTACGCTTATGATATCTAGACTTATGGTTGTTACAGAATGATATGAATGTAGGCCTAACGTCATAGCCTAATTTGTTGATAATGTTGACCTAGTATTGAAGGTGTTGCGCGCGAAGCAATCATGCTTTTTCGTCGCAACACCTGATGGTAGGCTACTTCTCTTTGGAGGAGTCCACAACTATACATCTTTTACTCTGGGTTTTGTCATATTTTGGTCGATATTATGATTAACGGAATTGTCTTGCTAGTACGGATTTTAGTATGAAGAAGAGCAACGCATCGTGCCGTTTGCCAGACCACAAGCGGAACATTCACGGTAAACCGTTTGAAATTTTGCGTGCTCTGTTTCAATTTTCAATCGCAAGGATAAAAACGACATAAAGTAGGTCAGGTCAACCTATCCAAAACGCACAGAATGAAAAAGCTAAAGCCTACACAGATAAAACCAAACGATGTAACCTGTGTTTAACTGAAAACCATTCCATCATAAATGCCCCTTAGCACACGTCTTTAAACAAACGTTCCGAACGTATCTATTTCTACTTGTCCAAATTTAGTAGTGATAACTAGGCTGAAATAGGTCTATTTCTAAAGATCGCATAGCGTCAAACTCTGAGTAACATGTATCAGGTTCCGTTTTAATATTTATATGTCAATATATAATCATTTTATCAGTGATCCATTTTGTCAACACGTATTATTATGATTTGTCTGTAATCAAATATGAGTTCTGTCCCTTTCACCGTTAAACTCTTCAATGCATGACATTCTTCAAGATATAAAACTATCAATTACAAAAAAATGGCAATAATACTAACAAAAACAATAATAAAACAGACAATCGTTTGGCTTGTATCATGTTTGGAATGTGTGTATTTTGAACAACAACAAAAAAAACCCTTAGTTTGATGAACCATAATATATAAATTCCGTTCAGTTGATAAATACGGTGGCGTAAAATAGTTAGCTCCCTTACAGTTTTCCTACACGAAAATGTATCTTAAACAGATGATATTAAAAAGCAAGCATGCTAATAGTTTTTGCCGAATGAGTTCCGCACCAAAGACTAGCCTATCGCATACCATCGTTCTGGATTGACCAGAAAACGAACACCACAGATTTGATTTTTTAAGAAAACCACGTACAATCTCCTCGAAGCACTGTTTATTAGGGCAGTGGCTATTTACCACTGGCGTAGTAAGCGTTGTAAATAGTCATAAGTATTCTTACAGCTATTTAAAAATTAGTCATGATTTCATATTCCCTTCGGGAAAAATTTCTTAAAACTACTAAATATTCAAAATAACGGTTTTGCAATCAAATACTCATCATGTTCATCAAAAATTCCCTTTTTGAAAAAAAAAATATCTTTGTGTTTGTTTACAAATAAATGTCAAGGCCGATTGTGAAGAGTTCACGGTTCAAGGCTGAATACTTCTCAATTCAAACCTAAACCAATCTAAAAAAAGTTTCGCGTTGTGTGAAATTTGGTGTAGCCTGCATTTATTTGTTCTTTCGGCAATAGATCTTTATTACAAATTAGTCAAAATTTACTTTTAACCTTGATGAATTGGAAAGCAGGCTTATTACAAGTATATCTATTCAAAATCAATTCAGGACTAATCTTCCCAAATCGATTAATTGTAAGGGTATTTTGTTCGAGAATTAGTTTTGAAAATAAATTCCTGCATTTTATGCAATTTGTCTCCTAGTATTATATTAATACGTTTTTACAAGTAGCTACAGTGGCGTATTTAGAGGGTAGTGCCCTCGAAAAGCCAAAAAGAGGTGCCCCTCACCCCCGTCAATGAAATCTTGGCTACTCCACTGAGTAAGTAATGTATATTTCCACAAAAATTGTAATCTTGGGTCATATTGATATTAGTGTGACTTGAGAATAAAAATCCCCAAAAAGCGCAGGCCTAGATCCGCTATCATGTGACTAAAAAAGTGACTTTTAGTCTTTCATTAAACAATTTGTCGTCCAGAAACTTGCCTTCACTACCACGTGTTGTTTCTCTAAACGATTCTACATTTCTTAGTGTCCAGAATTAACATGAACTTCGAAACAAACAAATAATCAACTCGATGAATGCAGCATGGAACAATTTTATTGCGACCAGGACAAATATTTTTTTTTAAAGGGACAGTTTCTCCAATTTTTTGACCAGTCATACTCATAGTCTCAGAAACAGGATTGTTTTAGCTAAGCCAATCAGTAATATTGTTCACAGCTCACCGTCAAAATTTGAGCCTTCAAATGTGTCAGAATTATCCGTGTTTGACTGTAGTATACAGAAGAGGTCAGTAATTATACAAATATTGACAGTGTTTGACTGTAGTTTGTAGTAGAGGTCAGTAATGATACAGATAATGACAGTGTTTGACTTTAGTTTGTAGTAGAGGTCAGTAATAATACAGATATTAATACTGTTTGACTATAGTATGTAGACTAGGTCAGTAACGATACAGATATTTACAATGTTTGACTGTAGTTTGTAGTAGAGGTTAGTAATGATACATATATTGACAGTGTTTGACTGTGGTATACAGATGGAGTCAGTAATGATACAGATAATGACAGTGTTTGACTTTAGTTTGTAGTAGAGGTCAGTAATAATACAGATATTGATACTGTTTGACTGTAGTATGTAGACTAGGTCAGTAATGATACTGATATTGATAGTGTTTGTCTGTAGTGTATAGTAGAGGTTAGTATTGATACAGTTAATGATAGTGAACCAGAAACCAATACCAGTCTTAGACCAATATGTGTCCAGGCAAGTGGGTTTGCTGAGGAGGACGTCATCCACGCATTTGGTCTTATAGGGATGTCAGATACTATTTCATCATAACCATCTCCTGGTATAACCATCACCGGATGCAATATATCCTAGTGGCGCAGTCTAGTAGCGGTATCTACCCCAAGGTGTAATAAAGGTGGTAAGGTGGCGATCCTCTTGGCGGATTGGAACGCTATGGTACCCATTCCATCGAACACGTTCTTCTTTTTTCCATGTGGTACTGATCTGGCCTGATGAAATGCTGAAGGTGTGTGATGTGTTTCTCGAGTAGCGTGAGAATTGAGAGGTTGAAAGTCAACTCTGCGAAGTGACTTTCCGTTTTTCTTCGCACATATTACCATTCTGTGGCACCAATTAACGAGTTCACCAATTGGGACTGGTTAGAGGACAACGTACCATCCTTAAGTCCAGCCTTAACTCATCCTGGAGTTGAACTGTTAGGGGGTATGGTGAGCAATGGGGGTAACATTTGGATCTACCATTAACTGAATGGGTGGGCCGTCCATTAGAGGCAGGGGATGATGTTCACACGTGTTGAATGGGCTGGATTTATAGTAGTCGAGCAGGAACTGTTGAAGCTTCTCACGATTTGCAGGATATGGCAATTTGTTTGGTGGCGGTGGTGGTCTTTGATGTGGGTTGCATGAACAAATGGTTGACAAGCTACTGGTGGCAGAGTTGCAGTCATCAGCGTCTGTTGGCTTTGCCCCTGTTGGTGTATGACCTGTTCGCTCGTCATGAACTTCCCCCACAGTAGGAAAGTTTACTGATATAATTTGGAGGGCGATATAGGCCTCTCTGCTGATGAATAATCAGTCGGATGAGTCAGTCACATACGTCTGCTGTCGGGTTTCAATACGCTGGCCTTGTTCATCTGTGCCTGAAAGACGGAGAATTGTTGCACCTAGTATCCTAATGTCTCGGTTATTAGCCCTGTGCATTTTCGTTGTCACAGGGATGAGATCAGATTTTTGCAAACCGAGGTGGTAGATCACTTTAATTCCTGCGAGACAGCTTTGATATCCGGTATCGGCCATGTTGTGTTAGTCTGTGTCTTTGGTGAATCCAAACGTTTCGTAATCCCTTAACTCTGACAGTCAATGGAATGAATGGCTGTGGCCTTGAACCTTTCCTAATCCATGTGCTAGACAGATGATCATTTATGTGATGGTCGATGGCGATTGGTTTTCTAAATCGAGGTTGTCTAGAGGGTGTAATTGAGCACAAGGCGTCAAACACAGCACCTTCGAAGGGGTATCTACACCCTGTGGCTTTTCATTGCTTCGGCAGACGCTCTCCATATGATGGTCGCGGTTGCACTTTAAACATTTGTGTACGTAAGCAGGGCACAAAGTTTTACGAATTCGAGTCAGAGCATTTTTTCCATGGCCTGTCTTCCCACAATATGAACAAAGATTTTGTTTTTCTGTAATACATTTGACATAACCTATGTTCACTATAATTATAAACAGTGTAGGTCATGGTCAGTTTTTTTACCCCTTGTGGGAAAAAGGGACAAATTTTGGGGGGTAACTGACCCCATCATTCCACTAGAATTTTTTGTCAGTTTTTATCCCATTATGATCCAAGTTGGTTGAGCCTCACAGATATTTGAAATATGCTTTTAGGGTAAAAATATTTTACCCCTTTGTTACAAAATGGAGTAATTTTGGGGGCCAGCTGACCCCCCTTTCCACCAAGATATTTTGTCGGTTTTTGTGTTTTTTATCTTCTCATGAAATGTTTCATGACATGTGTAGCTTTTGGGGTAAAATTGACCCATGTTGGGTGACTTTTTAGGGGCAGCTGACCCCACAAACCCCCCAAAATATTTTGTCAGTTCATATTGTTTTGAGTTTTGAATATATTTGTAGTAACATAACCAATGTATTAACTATGTAGCTTGAATGTTAAAATAAACCTCTTTCAAGGGTTTTTTTGACATACCCTAGGGGCAACACAAACATCTCATAACTAAATTAGAATTTCGGGCAATCTCAGATAACCCCCCCCCCCCCCCCCCCTTTCGGACGTAAACCTGGCTCCGCCACTGTATATAGTAACGAAATTGAATGTTTCTTTCCCGTTCTGAAGTTGTCTCTTCAAAGTGCTGCAGAAGAACCATCCCCAACTTCGTCCATGGTTTTCTTTTTAATTAGTTGTTTATTAGCTGGTATAGTAACTTTAATGCTATATTTTCGAATCATGTCTCTAATTTCATTGGCCGACAAGTTATTTTTTGTTCAGGTCTACATTATAACTTTTGTCATTTTACATATACATTACTACGCCTATAACTATTTTAGTCCCTATGATAACCATACATTATGTAGATGTAGGGTTACAGTTAGGGCTATATATATATATATGCTTTGCCCGAGGGAATGTATGACATACGAAATAAGGGTTACGATAATATCCTTTTTCATCTTTTAACCCTTTTCGAGATAAAGTTCTATCTGTGATTAAATCTTATTACTTGATAAACGGTTTATTAGCCGCTGGCATTGTCTCTACTCAAACTATATATATATATATATTTATTGAACCTTGGCTTTAAAATAACACTTCAAGGATTTCGAACAACAGGTTACATTTTCTTCACGAGGTAAGTGTCATACATGTCTAACATATATCATTTTTCGTCCAATTTCGGATGTCTGTCGTGACCCTTTAATGATTTACTTATATGATCTATGGAATATTAAAACAGAACCTAAATCATGTAATTGGTAACATTTGTTTTTTATATTTCTCATAAATCTCTCTGCAATAATATATTTGGCACTATTTTGACAGTGAGAATATTTTATTATTGTAAATGTGCAAATATACATTTATTGGTCTATCGTGTCTTATTTTGTTGATTAAACACTTATTAAAAAAAACAGGTAAATACGTTTAAAATATTGATATCACACGACAGCAAAATCCATCAGATTTGCCAATATACACACTGCAAGTCACTATTGAAAGATGTCCTTCTACAATTGTATTAAAATTCATAATATTGAGTAAAGATATTTTCGATCGATATGATGAATTAACAATCAAGGAATTATATGAATAACCCACTTTAGTCTGCTATCAAATTGTGCATTATATACGTGACCTTTGTCTTTAATAAGTTTGGCGTGTATATGCTATATGATTTCCTGTATACAATATTAACTATTAGAGGTATACAGCATGAAATGTATTTTTTCTACATTAATCTTTCATTTCTATACTTATAGGACAAACAAGCTGTTACTGACAATTTACTGGATTTAGCGAATCGATTTTTACACATAGAGTTATGTTTGATGATTTACTCCAGTGAAAAGTGAAATAGCAAAAGGACAATGATGGATGGTGGTAAAATTGCTCATTTTTTAATTCGCAGCATCTTTGTTTGTAATGGCTTCTATTATTTGCAACATTTCTTTTTACGCAGAAGACACCTTTTGCTTCCGTCATTGCCAGCTATAACGTCTTTGTTAACAGGAATTGGGTTTAATATTTTAGTTCTGTATGACTTAGTGTTAACAGGTCTACCTGAAGGAATTGATGAACCTTTCTTAGTGCAATATCAACAATTCTCGGAGATTTTAGTAACGTTGGTGTTAGGAAGTTATCTGTTACGTTACGTGGGCGATCCGGCATTTAATCTTGGAATTCAATGGACAATTTCGATAGTTATACTTACTGTTGCAACCAATATTTACATGATAGTACGGTGTATTAAAATAATATCAACATCAGTAGTGTTCAAAGATGATACACAATACCTGATATATACACAGACTACCAGTAACACCAACCTTGTCATATATCTGTGTATTATTTTACCACAATATATAGCAGTGGTCTCTATTTTATATTACATTAATAATCCTTCAGGTAAGTTACTTATATATTCTCATAAACATATTTATTTAGACTTATTCCTGTTTTCGTTTGCATATGTCTAAGGAATTTTTTTCATAGAGATTATATTATATAATATGCTAATATATCTTATAATGGATATCTCAATTTGTCAACACTTTTGTTTGTAACAAGATGCCTATAAACTTAGATTTTAATTTTTAAATTGTACATTGAAGCGTTGTGTTTTTTTTAATTGAGTTTTTATTATATAATATTTATTATAATATTTTGTGTTTAGTGTATTCCCTTACTGTAAAAATATCACATTGGTCACCCGGTTCACTCTTTAAAACGATTAAGACTACGTACATTTTACCTACTTTCTAAAACTTATCATTTTACTTTACATAATATATTCGTTAGTCATGTGAAATGCTTAATTGTTCTGAAAATGCATGAAATATTTAGGAATTTTTACATATAAAAATATATATAAAGATATTGATTACATTCTATTTCTTTTCCAGAAAAAGAGAAAAAACTCCAAGATAGTAAAGAAAACCTCTCAGTTACCAATGGATGTGAAACCTGTTCTGTATTTGACTTTTATTACCAGTTGAATATTATATATATGGGCATAGTGATAACCATTGTTAAACCAATTTTATACTTGTATTCAAATAATTCCGATTGTGATAGAACTAACGAATTCCTAATCGTACCCCCATTTGTAGCTGTTACAGTGTTGTTTGTTGGACACCAAATATCAAACATTGCAGCCATTAAAACCAGAACTATTCAAAGTGAACCAGTATTTCATATTGATTATAAGAAAACCATACCATGACATGTTTTGTCATATTTCTAAGCCTAAATAGCATGTAACAGTTGTTGTATATACACGAAAAATATGTTGCCGAAATTTATTGAAATCTATCTGGATATTTAATTAAAGTTAACGAAGGGCACTGTTAAACTTAGTCTTATACGCTTTAAAGGGACAGATGCGCCATTTTTTTTTAGACCAAGTATACTTTAGTCTCAGAAACGGGAATTTTTTAGCTGAACCAATCAGAAATAGTGCTCACTGTCGAAATTTGAGCCTTCAAATCCATCTGTCCAGAATTATCCGCGATTGAATGACGACTTGTCAATTTAAGATAGGCCTGCCTTGTGATATATAGAAAAGACGTATATAGAAATATTAAGTAAAATTCCTAGTTTAGAGTACTTTTAACGGAATTGTGCGATTTTCGAACATTTCTAGTACTTCTGGAGACTATGTACATATATTCACAGCTAAAATCAATCCACCAAAATGGGGCATCTGTCCCTTTAATGTGATCTTATATTCCCATATTCCTTTAGCTGAAAACTATAATATAAGCTATAGTGTGGCGGTGTTTATAGTCTAATAGGTCTATCTATTTCCAGTACTTTTTTTGTTTTTTGAATGGCATTTGTCTATTTTTTATTCAAAGTTTATAATAAAGTCCATAAAAAAAATATGAGCAAAACAACTGTTTTGAGGTGCTAGTCATTTTTTGTTTTGTTTTTGGTTTTTTGAAAAAAGAACATGTCAAAACGCCAATTATCACTACTGTTGATTGTAATGACTTGTCTTTTCATAATTCAATACCGATTGTAGTTCAACCTTGCTCAATCTGTTTCTCCACTGTGAGATCTGCTAAAAATACAAAAATGAATATGTTTTTATTTATTTATCAATATGCAATACAGTATATACAGAATGTTCCATGTGCATAGTCAGTCATTCACATCATAATATACATGTAATTTCTTATAAAAATAATTTGTATCTTCATTATACACAACCATAATTATATACAATTTTCTTATCTTGTTATGACATTTTATGTTACATGACAGTACAAATCTTTAGATATAATATATAATATTGTTATTCCTTTTTTACTTTGGAATTCTGAGTTTGAAGATTTCTGTTGAACATAGGACTAAATATACTTAAGTTGGAAAGGTGAATAAATAAAATTGTACTCAAACATGTAACCACACATCCATGAATCTCAGTTTTATTTTTTTTGATAGTAAACTAACATATTATGGCAAGAATGTAAGTTCTAGCAAAAATACTTTTGCATCAAATATCATGTTTAATATTTGAATGTTTGGTATATTTTCTACACTAGCTGCAAAACATACTTCATTTGGTTTATGACCTAAAAATGCATTTGGCGACATTTGCTTTTCAAAAATAACTTAAAGAGAATTCTAAAATCATAATTTATTATCAAACACGAACTGGGATGAAAATAATTGTTGAAACATGAACTCACTAATCCTTCAGAAAAACAAAAGCAAAGGATGCTTAAAGGGATAGTCAGAATTCAAATATGAGGGGCTTATTATACATGATACTATATCATAATGCTTTGTATAGTTTCTATCTGTTAAACTAATAATCGTAGAACTGATTAAAACATTAATTAGAGATGACTGTATAAGATAAGCATTGTTGTTCGGGACAATAATTTTGAGGATAAAGACTAATGCAAAGAATCTGTTGTTTTGATTTGTGACTAGTGACAGATTTTTGATCAGAAATATAAACATTGACTTTAATTGTGGGTTTTTTTTATATGAAAGAAAACAATTTAAAAGGAAATATTTGCTTTTTTTAACCGTTTACATAAATACATTTTTGGTTGTTTGTGTCTTGAAGCTTTCATATTTAAAATTGAAACTTTAAAAAAAGATAATGGACATATTGCTCTACAAGTTGGCATACATATTCAGTACTGTACACTCAAAGCCTCAAAAGAACATGAAAAAAATTAGACTATCCCTTTAACTAGAATTCATGTTAATGCAAACAAAAACAATATCTGCTTGATTTGCTATAGCTTATAATAAGTAGTTTGGTTTTCTTACAAATGATTCATCAAAGATTTATTTACTACTTATGTCCAACTCAATATTTCAGAAATTTTCCAAAGGGAAGGTATTTAGTTCAATTTTATTCCATGATAATGTTAACTAGTAAAGCACTACATTCCTAAAATAAATCCTTACCATCCACTTGATATAAGTACTCTCATTATGTATGTATATTAATGTACTGTGATGTAAAATACTGTACCTGCAACACATGATTAAGTGACACATAGAACGAGAGTGACTTCAAAATGGATGTATATGTATTCAAAATTAGCAGAACTTCTCCACAATTCAGACAACTTGCATCTCATTTATACAAGTTGTCACATGATTAAATTCCCTTTGTCATTTTATATAAGTTTTTAGACTTGTTTCACAACTATAAAGGTTTAAAAAAAGAAAAACAGACTTCTCCTGCAAGATATACATTGCTTCATTCCTGCAAGTTTTAGGCACTAGCCACATGAATCTGCATATTGTAGAGATTATTTTGGGTTCCATCACAAGTCCTATATTAATGATCAATATAGAGCAAAAAATTCATAAAAACCTTGGTATGAAATATACCAAAACAGACAAATCAAAATAAAATTAGTAGATTTACCCACTGTCAATAATACAATAAGCACATAATTTAGGATCTATAAGTTTTTATCACATCTTTAATTGGCTGTCTACATATAGGACACAATCCACCTTTTTCTCTCTTGACTATTAAAGCACAATCAAAACACATACACATGTGTCCACAAGTATAGAGTACACTGTTTACTGATCGTTCACAACATACAGAACATTCCTGATTATCATCTGTGTTATCTGTAAATGATGTGTCTACTGATGTTGGAGTTGATGTTGATGAAGAAGGAAGAGATGTTGGTAGAGATGGATGGAGAGGAGCAAGAATAGAAGGAACTGCTGGTGATGCTGGTTGACAATCTGATGATTGTGTAGCTGGTACACTAATACTACGTAAAACTTGAGGTTGGAGTGGTGGTGGTAAGGACTGTGTTGCTGTGGTAGATGTTGGTTGACGTGGTGGTAATGCCACCGTTAATGATGAATAACTAGAAGCTGATCTTGATCTGGGCATTCTAGATTGGGCACCAGGAATAGTTGTCCCTATAATACACTTAATTACTATGATATGTGTACATGAAAATCTGAACTAATCCAGAAATTTTTATGTTCAGCAAAATCGCCCAGGATATATTATTTTAATCGAATTTTAATAGACAGCCTAAATATTGAGTACATCATGTTGATATTCATTGTGAAAGGACTGAAGGTGGTTAAAGTTGTGTCCCACCTGCAGACAGACATGCAACCTTGCTCTGCAGCTTTTTAACAACATGGTTATCTGTCTAGCATCATAATGATATAATTTCCTGCTTGGCCAGTGTATTTGGGTATGTTCATTTGGCATTCCCTTTGACAGAAATAATTCTCAAGTTTTGCCCTGAAATCCTGATCAAGTTTCCTTACCTAATATTTTTATTTTCTGAACATTACCATATACATCAAAAAATGCCCATAATGGTAGATTTCTGTCTACATGCATTAATGTGGCCACTTTATGATTATTTCTTGAATAACGAACTTCCCCTGAAAAATAAAAGAAAATATAAAAAATAGTTTGTAAGGGCTATGAATGAAAAGAATGTGATAAGGTCCATAAAGATAGCTTGCCAGGCAAGGTAATATAGGAACAATAATTCTAATTAGGTTCTATAGCATAGTCAGTTAGAGCGTTGGTTCTTTACATCAAGTCGGCATGTGAAAGTCCAATGACCTTGAATAAGTCATCTAAACTCATAATTCCAGACAACCCGGCTGGAGATGGACACCAATAATCTGAGAAAGATCAAGGCTAAGAGGTTTGGCAAGGACCAGCTGGTAGAAAGGATCCTTAACTGTGAACCAAAGTTGTTATCCTTGTAACATATAAGCTTAGTTGTTTGTTTGTTTCTTTCTTTATACTACCTTTGAACTTTTTGGAGTGATACTGAATAATATTACTTAGTTTCGTCAAATTCCTGCAAGAATCATGCCTTTAGTGTTTACAAGTTTACAATTGAAAGCGTTTCAAGAACAATGTCAATTACTCATAAAACATTTTTTGATTTTCAATAGTGTTCATCCATGGGTGATAATAAACACTTTCACCAAGTTTTAGAATGATTACGTGTTTTCAAGATCAGGGGCAATAACTCTTGCTTAACATTTTTAGATTTTTCTGATTTTCAATAGAGTTCATGCTTGGGTGATAACACACATTCACACAAAGTTTTGTCAAAATCTGTTAATTATTGTACCTTCTAGAGTGTTTACAAGCTTTCTTCAAGAACCAGGGCAGTAACTCATACTAAATATTTTTAAATTTTTCTGATTCATCCTTGGGTGATTACAAACATTCACACCAAGTTTCGTCAAAATCCCTCAAGAATTGCACCTTCTAGAGTGTTTACGAGCTAAAAATTGAACATGTTTCGAACAACAAGAGCAATAACTCATACTAAATATTTTTAAATTTGTCTGATTTTCAATAGGATTCATCCTTGGGTGATAACAAACACTCATACCAGTTTCACCACAATCAGTGAAAAGTTGTGCCTAAAGTGTTTACAAGCAATTGTGGATGTCCGCACAGACCAACATGGGTAACGACAATATATGCCCCCATTTCATGTGGGCGTATAAAAATTAGATAAATTAAACATTTTAAAGTGGGAAATGTACACTGATTTACTGGATATATTTTGAAATACTTCACTCATTCCTTTAAACTATGAAACCAAGAAGAGTATATATTAATTGTTTAGAACTAGAACCTTATTCAATCCATATGGATGTTAGTGCTGCTATAGATCATCAATACACTAATGGTATATATCATGAATATCTCATGGTATATAAGATAAATTGTTACCATCTTCATACCAGTACACATATAAACATACACCACATGTAGGCATAGTGCCAAAAATTTCTGATATAAGTACAGACATACTGTTTACTTTCAAGTTCATAAACCAAATACCTTCATCTTAGATATCTAATACCAAAGATTTCAATTATATTTTCATTGCTTAAATTGTGTAAATGTCTAATTTTATTTTGGGTGCCATAAACACTTTTTCAGAATGAAAATCATGTTAAACTTCCATCGTTTTTTAATATCATCCTAAATAGGAGAGTCTAATATATTTTGGACTGAGTCAAGGCATTATATCAAGTCTGGAGACTTCATACAGTATATCCCGTTCAGTAAGATTGCTTGCTCGTACAACCACAATCCAATTTTGAAAAGTTACTCATTATTTCCGTGACTAGCTATCCTGGTTTGGACTATGAATCAGCAGGATGATCCCTTTCATTTTAAATACATGATACAACTGGAATTAACATCCACCATAGATTGTCCCAATGATGTGTTGGCTTTAAGAATACATGCTTACATGAAAAAATGGAAGTCCTATGTACAAACAAAAAATTTCTTTTCATTTGGAAATCAAAAAAGAGAAGCAAGTTGACACATGAACTTTCTGTAAGACTAATCAAGTGCAGGTAGAAGAGAAAAATTAATACATTCTCAATCTAGGTTAATATTACTGTTATAAACTTACCTTCAGATGTCAGATAGAAACTTAATTCATCTCCTACATCAGGTTTTCTACATATATCTTTATTTACTACCCAATATTCTTTTCTATCTAATAAATAGTCAGAATCATCTGGTAAATCATCCATTATCAATGATGCTGGATCACACACAGTTAAACCAAAAGCAATTCCACCAACATACAACTGTTCAATATTCAATATCTGAATCACAATTTTTTCACCGCAGTGCAGTGGTCGTGATGTAAATGCATAGGCATTACAATACTCATCCATTGTGCGTGAAGCTATAGTCATGTCAGGATTAAGGCGTACATTGCGACCACACATAGCATGAAATGTCATTGGTGTCAATTCCACATTGGCATGGTAACGTACAGGAAGGGATGTAGAATCATTTAATGATAAAGTTTGAAAAGAAAATAATTCTGATTCAACTGAGACAGATGATGATGGTCCAACCATATTATTTAATACAGGTACTGCATCTAGAAAATAAAATATAGTTGGTAAACTTCAAGCAGGAAATTCTTTTATTGCAAGAAACATGATAATGCAAGATAATAGATGAAGCTCATTAATGCTAATTGTCACATTGGTTCTTACATTTTCAGGTTTCAGATTATTATTTGAATTCCTTTTTAAGATTCATGATGGTATAAATGCATTATGGTCATATATCTGTATTTTATATACATGTACATTTTTGTATTTTGTATATGATAGATACTTACAATAAATAAAATTACATACTGGTATTTATTGTAATGATTGTATTAGCCCAGGGTTTGATTTGTGTGATTAGAATTTCTGACGTCACAACTAAAGAACATTATTTAAATTGACATATAGGGTGCATTCCAAGTAACAGATAGGGTGGATTGAGAAACTACAAAAGTCAATTTGTGTAATTACATCTAATTTAATAAAATACCAGTACGGTATAGTTACTAGTAAAGTCACTTACTCAAATCCTCAGCTTTAAAATTAAAATTTCTACTTTTTCCTTTCAATTTCCTAAATTTGAACATCTCACCAGCTTATACTCTCAAAGCTATATGATTCATTAATGTTTTAAAATGAAATGACCCAATTCTATCAATATTTCAACACCAGTTGTCCAAAACTGTGCAATATACTCAAATATTTGACTATAAATTTATTATATATCTTATTCCTTTTAAGCCTAGTACTATTTAGTAACTATATTTAGTATATGAAAACCAGTATAGAATATCTTGTAAATAGTAAAGTAGGTCACCTATTGTGGGTGTTAGATGTCAGGTAAAATAAGTATATAGAAATACTTTTTAAAGAGACCACTCAGTATTATAAAATATTCAAATTTGATTAATTACTACAGTCCACAAAATATTAAAAATATTGGTTTATATTACACAAATGTATAGAATGTACTGTAGGATAATAAAACTTGTTTGTTGTTAAGTAAGTTTGTTGACTTAACTCATTACATCTTGAGTTCTATATTAGAATGTTAGCCTTAATTTCCCAAACAAAATAAGCTGTCTTGATGAAGATATAGAATATCTGAATCACATGCCAACCAAATGGATGAGTTTCATTATCGGATGAGGGCAAAATCTCAAATTATTTTCTGCGAATTATAAACATCATAAACGCCTTCCTAACACCAATATCTGAAATTCTTTAGAATGCCTTAAGTTCATTATATTTGATACCATCAGGAATTGATACAATGAAATAAAAGTCACAACAGAAAAAGGTCTAAATTCAAAGAACACTTTCATGCTGATTGCTCACTGCTGAAGTCCATAAATTTTTATTTCTTTTTTTTCTCAATTTGCGTATGAAAGGGAGAGACGGCACTGGCCCGACTCTCGAAAGCACTGGCACAAACCTTGAGGGGTTTTTCGGCAGATGTTTACCATTGGTGATGGTAATATTAAGAATTTTCTTGTTCATTGAAAAATCCCACAGACCACAAAATTTTATGACTATTTTCTTTCAATTCAAACAGACTAAGTCAGGGCAATAATTCATAGATTTTTGTTAAAATAATTTCACATATTTGACAACCAATCTTAATCACGCTGATATTGACAAAGAAAGACGGGCATACAATAAATCTCTAACTTGCATCATTGAGAATATCAAGGATGAAACCATGGTTGGTGATTTATATCTTGTATCAACAATTTAAAAAAAACTATTTATATTGGCCTTCTCCCTAAGTAAACATGTTTAAAATCTAAGTACTACATGTAGTTACTTCCCTTCAATCTCTTCAAACACGACCACAAAATCAGAATATTAACCTCTTTGTTTTTTTTAGTGAAGTTGATATCTGATTTCAAATAGTTCAATTCAAATCATTTGTGAAAAAGCAAGCCAACCACTCTCTGGAGAAACTTATTCCTCATCAAGGAGTACTTTCCCCACAAGAATTAATATTTGGCCAGAAATTTAAGAATAGTGACTTAAGAGCGTCTGTAGTTTCCTGGGAATAACATTCATAACCTGTGTTAAGTATAAATCTGTAGAATTGTCGTACAACAGGATCTGAATGTTTAATTGAGTTATTAGTAATAATAAAGAAAGATACAGACTATAAACTTATTCTGATACTTACCAGGTCTATGTAAAAACTCCACTGATATTGTATTACCATAAATATCTAACAAAGCCCATAATGGTCCATTTGTATTAACACCATTAAAAAATAGCCCCTTATCTTCTCCATTAACACTAAAAAACACATCTCCTCCACGAGTCACATAAAAACACATTACTGTGTTAGTCTTGGCAAATCTTTCTGACAATGCCTTGGCAAATGTTCCTGGTTTATTTGTGAGGTCAGGACAAGCATATCGAGGAAGTTCTACAGGGTTATATGTCATAGGATCAGTTCCAGTGAAACCAAATCTTAATACACCACTCCAACTAGTTGACACTTCAGCAAAGTTTATATAGACTTTCTCATTGACAGCTATAGGTCTGTTACTGAAACAGATTCCTTTACAGAAACTTTCATAGCGTGTAGCTCTGGTTTTATCAGCATTCAGTCTTATATTTTCACCATGTATATCATGGAAACATAGTGGCCAACTGGACTGTAGTGTACTTATATCACCAGCATTACCTACAAATATATAATCAAATTAGCAAAATTTTGAAGGGATAATAAAAATTTCTGTTCTTATGGGGATATATATAGGCCTAAAAATTAATAAATTGTTGAAGGAAAAAAAAAAGATTGAATTAAAGTCCAATAATCAAAATTTTTATCTCAAAACTACACATTAACTACATGTCTAATACAGAATTTCATATAGAAGGATTTGAGCTGACGTCACATCTGGGAGTTTCCGCATCTAAAAATAGGCTGGCCGTCAAGCGTCAATGAACGGGCATTGTTGACTAGTGTAGGTTGCTGTAACTGTGACAGAAAAACAAATAAATTTGAAGTTCCATCGTATTTCAGGATGATATAATTTATCAAAATCAAATACTAATATGGTGTGAGATCTATTTATTAGGTATTTTTCTTAAACCTGGAGTTTGTCTAGGTGAACTTGATTTGTTTAGGAAAGAGCATGCTCGCCGATTACAATGTAGGTAAGTAGGCCTAGGGCCTAGGCTAGACCTAGATTTGGTGTAAGTTTAGATAACAACAATTGTTATATTTCATCTGATACCAATCCTGAAAGTAACCTAAACACAAATCTAAATCATTTTCAAAGTATTTTTGTCCCAATTTTTAACGAAAGAAAACAAATTATTCTTTGAGTAGCTTGACTGCCAGTTCAAAGGGAATTGATTGGAATATCCAGACGTCTATTGTCATTGATGCGCTATAGTCACCTACGTCATGTTGATCAACTTCCTATTTATAGCTTAGTTTCGAGGAGAAAAAAACAACAAAAAATTCGGCCATATCGTAATGGCCTATTAATGAAAATGTAATGGCCGAATGAGAATGTCAAAAATGCTGACATCAAACTGCTGTTTCTCGAAAACACACGACGATAAAAATTATTTAAAAATATCGATAAAAAGCTGGTTCAATTTTGGTGTGTAACTATGTACAATATGTTTTTGGGAGTAAATTTTATACATTCAGAAGGGACAAATAAAGAAGTGGATATGACGGGTTTGCGAGTTTAGACAAGGTCGCGTTTCAATTGATTCCATTACTTAGTCATTTTATTCGGATTATTAAGAGCTTTTAAATCTTTGTCAGACTGCAACTTGTTTCAATACCTCTTAAAGGGCTTCGTTGTCGAGATCACAATGCTTTTCACATAAGCTTAAGTCTATAGCCGATAGCAAAATATGCATGGACACATCTACTGAAGGCCAGCCAGTCACTTGCGCAAAGATGACATCAAAAAGGGAATTCCCAAATCCTCCTATTCATCAATGTATACTACTGATGAAATCCATAGTCTCTTCTTGTGATCTAGGCCAGTGCTTTTATAGGAGAGTTAAGCTCTTAAGCTGCGTTTAAACTCACCTTTACACCTATAACTGATGAATCGACCTGCATATTGAAAGTAAGCATTAGGAATTTTTTCTTAATGGTCATGGTTTGCCATTTTTGGGGTTTATTTGGGTCTTAAAATTATAATCTATAGTCTTCAGAACTACTAGAAATGCACAAAAAACACAAAATCCCTCAAAATAAACTTCTAACTAGTAATTTTACTCCTCGTTCTGTATAAGCCATTTCTATATATGGCAGAGTATCAATAAAAGACAACTCTCAAATGCAGATAATTCTGTACAAAAATTGATTTGAAGGCTCAAATTGTGAGGGTGAGCTTTGAACATTATAACTGCAAACTGTTTAGCGTAGCTTAAAAATTCCTTTTTCTGAAAATAAGGTACGACTGGTCAAACAGATGGCAAACATTACCCTTTAATCCCCTAAAATTGCTCTGTAACAAATCAATCTGATCATTCCATGTTTGATTTGCATGTTACTTAACTTGGCAGCTACTAATTTTTTAGTTGTGTCAGCTTATTTCATCAAATATCAGATTCTCCCAGATGCCTGCAGGTTGACATGTACCCAAATTTATGCAACATTAAATACTTATTCGCTGTAACTTGGAGAGTGATTTGTTTGGAAAGTGACTTTGAGCTGAAAGGTGTATTATAAATTCTATTTCAGTCACTGTCACAAATATCATTCAAATGTTTGCCGTAATCAAGGTTTATTGAATGAAATCAACCCAGATATCTAATGGAAAATTGGTACAAATAGTAGTTTTTGAAGTCGCCAATACAAACGGCTAGATAGTCTATCTACTGTATACAATACATTGTAATTCTTTCTTCAAATCTATATCATAAAAAACATATATATTGATTTTTCATCATAATTTACTACGCAGTTGATTTTGATTACATGTATAAATATACAGCCAGTTTTTATTTTTTTTGATCAAGTAATACAATAAAAGACTTTTCTACCAGCTGTTTCTAATAAACTTATGTCATATAACAACAATATTACCTTTATTCTTTATAGTCTGACTATACTTCTCTTCATTACGTAATTTACGTTTTGTAATGCCGATGGTAAAAGTATCAAATACCATAGATTCAAAACTAAATATACCCATTTTAACCTTGTATATCTATCAATTACCATCCACTTTAGTCACCTTATATCACATGTTAATGAATACAATTAGTATCCTTTTGTTATATACACAAGTTTCCTAGTAATACACTGACTTTCACAGTGATTCAAATACTCTTAACATCTAAAACTTGCAAGTTGAACTTGAATAAAACAGATTTATCAAGATAGTTGGCAAATGACCAACAAGTAAATATAAAACTCAGATAGTAGGGGTATAAAAAGATTGGCACCAGTACCTGTGTATATCAGACTGGGTTTGAAAAAGTTTATAAATAACTGAAGTTAAGATATCATATGTTTTAGATGTAACATAGTAAAGTATAATACTACCTTCAGATAGAAAACAGCTGAATTTACCTATTACTATACCAGATTATAGATATTGTATAGATGTTCAAATAATATTTACATCCCCCTCAATATGACTACCAATGGTATTCAATAGTCTTTGATGCATATTTTTGTCTCATTTTCAGGTCATATAAACAGGACTTTATAACAAGTACAGTATTATTTTGAAGGTTTTCAAATCTTTAGGTACCAGGTAATTAGTGTAAGTTTTCAAACCTCTTGATGACCTCAGATTTTGTAACAGATACATTCAATTGTAATATTTTTAATTATACATAGGCCCATCTTGCTTCATAATTATAAGCTATGATTAAATTAATCTAGTTTTAAGTACAATAAACAAAGACAAAGTTGAATATAAATCAGGTTATCATGTAAAATAGCTTACAGTCAATGTAACATACAGCAGTATAGTAATAAGGTTGTATTCTTTTATTCAATGCATCTCATATATGAGGGTTGCCTGCAAAGTTCTAAGGTTAAGTGGGATTTCTCAATCAGATTGAAACTTTTGCCACCTACAAGTATATTGGAAATATACCAGTCCTTAAATACATGTCCTTAATTAATTCATAATTCGCAAAACTAGAAGAGAATTACCAGAAGAATTCCAATGAGTGACTGATCAAGAAAGATCAAAAAGTCATCTTTTGTTTATCCAGACTGTAAATACATGTACATTTATGATTGGTTAAAACTCTTAATTATATTCTATAAGAACATAATGGTATGATTAAGAAAACATGATAATTCATAACAAACACCAATTGAACAAATAGTTTGCTTAATTTGACACTAAAAAACAAGGAAACCCATCTTTAAAAGCAAAGAGTAAAAAATTCATAATTTTTTTAGATCTCTAAACTAGATCTAGTTAATAAAAAGTAATAGTATAAAAAAAATTTACGACGGAATGAATCAACTTTTGCAACAAAATAATAAGTTTTGATAAATTAACTGGAATTGAATTGGAAGCATGCAATATACCAAAGCTAGAAAACCTCTTTGATTTCCTTTCAAATCATAACATTTAAATTAAATAATGAAAAATTTTTTTAATACTTTTATATATGATGAAACAAACGAAGTTACTTCAATGCTATTTTGAAGCAATCAAATGTCTTTTGCTAGTCAAAGAGCATGAATAGAAATTAAAACTGGTGCATCTAAAAGCTTTCTAAAAGTCAGGAGCAAAGTTGTTGTTATATTTACATCATAAAAAATTCTTTTGGAATATAGCATTTCACCAGAACCAATAATAAACATTAGTATTATGATTTGAAAACATCCAGTCATCTTTGTTTAATGCAGCTACAGAGTGGAGGCCCAAAAGGATATATGCCCAGACACAAATTTTTACAGTGTCCTATCTTATATTGCTCAATGAAATTTATTCTTTAATCATTAAAAATAATACCATTTAAATTTTATAATTCAATGCATTAGCTTGTATAGTAAAAACTCTTTAAACAAAATTTTTATCAAAAAATTAATCAATATCAATTATCATCAATATAAGTTTTGGCAAAATCCAATCAAAAGTGTAATCCACAAATTTTGGCCAAGTCCTGGGTAATAATTTAAAAAATGTTCATATTATGAAAAACAAAATCATTAATCACAAAGACATGCCAAATTTCGTCAAATCCCCTAAAAAAATCAAACCCATACAAGATCTTAGTGTTAAGAGTGAAGAAGTTCCTAAAAACTTCTATGTAAAGCACTGGCCAAGGTCACAAATAAAGAGATAAATGTTCAATACAAGATAAGGTGAAGTTAGCATAGTTAGTATTAAGTTAAAAAAACAACCACGAGTAATCTATATAAACAAAAGTCTATAATATGAAAGTTTTCTTGTTACCAGTTCTAAAAGAAAAGAGTATTTATAAGTTCTGAAAAGATAAACATCTATATATAAGGATTAGAATATATTAAACTTAATGAGCTAGAAAATAGAGAGGGAGGTCAAGTATTATTGGATTCAATGGGATCGAGTCTACCACGGACCAGAAAATTACTAAGGTTTTTATTGCGCTTATAGGCAATTACAAGTCGTTTGGTATATACATTCGGAAATCTGTTCTGTAATTCACTGTAATACTGTTTGACGATGGATGAGGTTTTGGCAGCTGTATGATTAAAGGTGGCAGCAAATGGAATCATTTGATTATCATGCTGGATGTTAAGTCCATTTGGAGCCACTGTTTGGAGTTGGTCCATCCAGTAGCTTTCTCTCTGTAATCGTTTGGTTTTTGGTTTGATAAGATCAGAGTCAGGAATTGATTCAATAGGCATGATAAGAAGGTCTTCAATGGAATGGTCAGGTAAATTAAAATGATGAGAAATTGGTCTATTTTTGCTATGAATTATATCAAAGCGATGGCCGCTAAATCGAGTTCGCAAGGCATTCTGGGTTTAGCCGACGTATTGTTTGTCACATTTTTTACACGAAATTAGGTAAATGATATTTTTATCCTTACACGTGAGACGTTCTTTAATTTCAAATATTTTTCTGTTTTTTTTATTTTGAAAATAATGAGACATATGGATATGTTCACAGGTGCGACACCGAGAACCTCTACATGGTATTGCGCCAAAGTTATTTATTGGAGGAGGGGGTTCATTAATTTTCAAAAGGTCCAAAACAGTGTCATTTTTAATTTTGCGCAAGAATCGTTTGGAATAGCCCCTCTCTCTTAATTTACTGAAAACTAGTCTACAAGCTGCATCGAAATCTACTTTTTGAGTGCAAATTCTAAAAAAATTTGTGATTTGATTATTCCCGTAAAAGTATGTTTTGGGTAAAAAGAGTTTTTATATAAAAGTTGGTGAGTATCCCTTGGTTTAAAAAATACTTTGATGTCTAATTTGTTTGTTTGAGAGAAACTTGGTCCTTTGAATACCGTAGTATCCAAAAAATCCATACTTTGTTCAGAAATATTCGCAGTTAGTTTTACAGAAGGGTGGTGATTATTTAAAATTTCAAAATACTGCCAAAAATTTGTTAAAGACTCGGTCCAAATAATAAATATATCGTCAAGAAACCTTCCATAGAAGAAAGGTTCAAAAGGGGAAATGGAAGAAATTTCCAGTTCCCACTCAGCCATAAAGATATTTGCATAACTCGGCGCAAATCTTTTGCCCATCGCGGTGCCTGAAGTCTGGAGATAAATTTTTTCATTAAAGGCAAAGTCATTTCGCGTTAGACATAATTCCAAAAGTTCTAATATTTCTTTGTCGGGTCTATCTACGCAGGGATTTCGAAGAAAGGCCTTTCGGACAGCGTCTAAACCGGTTTTATTATCAATATTGGTATACATACTCGTAACATCTTATGAGATAAATCTTGCGTTTGGAGGGACATTCAAGCTTTTAATTTTTTCAACAAAATCGGTGGTATCCTTAAGATATGACGGATGCTTACACGCTAATGGAAGTAAAAAATGGTCAATGTATTCAGAAACTCGGTAGGATTCGCTCGCGCAATCTGAGATAATAGGCCTGCCTTTAGGAATCCTATTGGCTAAAGACCATTCAGATTCCGGGTTTTTGTGAATCTTCGGTAAAGTATAAATGTGACGTTGACGGACTTCGGGTTTCGCTGAAAGATAGTCATATTGGGAATCAGAAATAAATTGTTTGTTTACTAACGTTTTTAAAATATTGTTTATCTTTTGCGCAGTTTCCATGAAAATAGGTTGATCAAGTACACAGTAATGATTAGCATTGTTCAATTGTTTCTCTAATTCAAAAATGTAGTCTTCGCGATTCTGAATGACACAGCAACTGCCTTTGTCACTCTTTCGTATTATAATGTTCTGATCGTTTTTTAGGCTATTCAAAGCTTTCCTTTCAAACTTGGTGAGGTTGTGTTTTTCATTCACCAGAGGTAAATGAGATATTTCTTCATGTAATTTATCGCAAGTAGCCAAAATATCTGAGTCAATCGCGCTGTCTGGTGGAGTCCAACCAGACTTTTCAATGAACGGTATTCGGCCGAGTCTATTCCGAAAAAAGAAATTTAACTTAAAAGTCCTATTGACGTGTTCAACCGACGATAAAATTGGTTCATGGGAAAGAGTTTTAGATGTCGGAATAAATGTTAGACCTCTATCTAAAACTCTTTCTTCAAGGGGAGAAAGTTTTCGCGAACTGAGGTTAACCACAGTTTCTCCTAATTTTATAGCATTTCCCCCCGCGTTCAGTTTAAATGGGAGACCCATGAAAAATAAATACTTTTTGCAGTGGGGGACATCCAGTGGACTTGCCATGGCAAGTTTGAGGAGTTCCAGCATTCTTCTGTGTATGGATTCTCCTGATTCCTGTTTATTATTTAGGCCAACATGAAATAACACCTTGTTTAGGAATGGTTGTTGGAGAGATTTTGGAGAGTAATGTATTGATATGCTGAATTCGGGCATCAGGGTAAGATTCGACTTGGGTATCTGGATGTAGGAATGGGATGTTGCTGATGTTGGAAGATCCAATGATAACTGTTGGTTTGGTGAGTGTGGGAATAGACCATTTGGATTTATCCTTCTCATTATTATGACGTCATGATCAATATAATTTATTTACAAGGCTTAAAGGTTATTTGAAAAAAACAACAAGAAAAAAACAATCAATTGGGAGTTTCAAATCACAAATTTACGCGCTTTGGAAAAATCTCCTGACTTTTCACCCAATCTCCAGATTTTTCAAGGCAAATCTACAGATTTTTTTTCCTGACCTGTACACATGTATGTTTACAGGCTGGAGATGAGGTGAGGTGGTTAAACTTAAGCGGCCGCGAGTAGTGGTACGTTGAGGTTTCGGTGTTTCAGGGTTCGATCTTGGCGTCGTCATTGGTGTGGATGGAGTTGCAGTAAAAGTTGGTAACGGTAAAGTACGTCTATCAGTGTGAGGTTTCTTGCTTATGGATAGTGGTTCTTGCGAGGTACTAAGGCCAGAAGGTGATAGAGTTCTTTTACGTTTCGGCGTAGGTCTTACATCTGCGATTAATGGTAACTGGTGTCTGTTTGGTGTAGAAACTGGTTGAGATTCAGCTTCCATGTCTTCCACCACACAAGTAGTATACACAAGCATGCTTTCACAAGCCAATTTTCTGTTTTGGCTAAATCACAAGCAATAACTCGAAATTGTTGATAAAATTCTTGTGGAAGAAAGACAGGGTGAAAACAATATACATCCACATTATAATATGGTCATGGGCGACTTTTGGGCATCTTAAAACTAACTAACTAAATACTATTGTTCACTTTCTAGAACAGAATTGAAAGATAGATTGCCAGACAAGATAATATACACCCACTGGCAGCTTTGATTTTAAATAAGAATATTTTGCAGTAAAGTAACAACCAGTATGAAATATTCAACCTTCAGTCATACACTTCTTCTTGAACTTTTTGGGGCGATACTGTATATCATTACCAAGATTCGTCAAATCTCTCAAGAATTGTGTCTTCTAGAATGTTTACAGGCTAAAACTAGAAGGCGTTTTAAAGAACAAGGGCAAAAAACTAAAACTAAATATTTTTGTGATTCTTTTAATTTTTGAAAGGGGTTTATCCTTGATTGATAACAATTACTCACACAAAGTTTCATCAAAATCCGTCAGGAATTGTGCCTTCTAGAGTGTTTACGTGCTAAATATTGAACAAACATTAAAAAACAAGGGCAATAACTCATACTGAATATACTTTTCGATTTTTCTGATTTTCAAAAGGATTCATCCTTGGGTGATTACAAACAATCATACCAAGTTCCATCAAAATCAGACAAGAATTGTGCCTTCTAGAGTGTTTACGACGATTGGACAGACTGACAGATCGACAGACGGACGGATAAGGGTGACATTAATACACACCTCTCATTTCATGTGGGCGTATAAAAATTAGATTAGATAGTATCTAAAAGTATTAGTCTTGTAAGTGGAAAGAGTGAACTGTTATTTTATAATAAAAGTAACCATATCTTACTTTCTGGACATTTTTCATCCTCTAGAACAAGATTGTAAAAAGAACAAGATGCTGTAGGTTGTCTGGAATCAGTCGTTTTATGAACTTTCCACCTGTACCTTCCTTTTTTTAAAAGTTTGATGAAATGAGTTTCAGATGATCTTGTACCTGAATATTCTCTTCTTTGTCCTATACAAAAGTGAAAACTATTCAAACATGTTTCATGTTAAGCAATATTTCTGTTCAGCGAAAAGAAATATGCTAAAAGACCTATAAAATATTCATTTGTACATGTTCGGATGTCAATATTGATCAGTGTAGGTGCAACACTAAAAGTCTGCATAACTTCTCATCATGTTAGTTGATTAAACCTTTACCAAAAGGCATCAAAATCCGGTTTTGTTTAAAAATTAAATTACTCTGATCAATTATAAGGCTGCAACTTTTAGTACCTTTTCTAAACATTTACACTAAGGTCATTAATTATGAGACATGCAAGCCATTTTTTAATAGACTTGACCTATTTATTAATTTCACTCATCGCAGCAGAGATGTAGTGGGACAGTATGATTCAGTTTAATGTATGCTATTAATGTCAATAATAAGAAAACTCAAATTTGATATAGAGGCCATAATTAAGGAATTTTAGGGATATCTTTGTTTTTCATAATATCTGGATATATCTCAACAAGTAATATATATTTTGGTTATCATCAAGGTCCTTTTAAATAAGCATGAGAATGCATCCGTATTTTCATATAGGAGTATAAAGAAGAATGAAAGACTAGGTAGACATACATAAATAAATTCAGCATCAATGAAATATCAGAAGATGGCTTGGACAAACAGATGGAGGGACTGACATGGATTACGCCAATACATTTTATGTAGGTTTATTAAGATGACTTCATTTTTCTCTCTGTTTTTTATAAAGAGTCCAGTTTTTATAATATGAACTCACTTAACGTTGACATGTATAATTAGTCAGTGAGTTGTGATGATGGTATTTAAACTTTGTTGGGAAAAGTGGTTTGGTCTATGCCCCTCACACTGATTTGTCATGTAACTGGAATATTATTTTATTTCAACTAATCATGACAATATCTTAACCATCAATCACTTCAAATTGGTATCTTAAAAAATAAAGATTTTTTTTGTTTGTCATTTGGAAACAATTGTTGTCCTGAATGACCAGCACACCAAGAACATAATCAGGCCACACATTCTCGAAACGATCTTAGTGCTAAGATGTCCTAGAATCAATGTAAGAAGATGAGAACCTAGGACATCCTAACGCCAAGATCTTTTCAAGAATACGTGGCCAGATCTTTACAGGCGACCATTTGCTTTTAGCCATTTATAGTTCTCATCAATCAAATGTAACCTGATACATATCCCTAACAAAATGACATGCACAAATAACATGCTTATTATGGAAACATTTTCAACTTCATACCAACTTGAGATCTCATCATTTCAAAAATAAAACCAATCCTGCATTTGCATGTCAAAAAGTCAATGGTTTTAAAGATAATCTTATTTGCCAATTTTAGGATAAGAGTGCATAGAGTGTATAATTCCATGACATATTGCTTTATACCAATACCAGCATGCATTGCAGGAGCCATCTTACCCTGTAGATATGCTGACACGTTATGTGATCTTGTAGATCGAAACATCCTGTCTCTCAATGCTGTTTTAGAGTCAACTTGTCGGTCTACTGTTCTTGTAGCATTGAAGAACAAGCTGATACAGTAATAGTGGTCGGTAGTACCGATATTATCACTTAAAAGTGGGTGTGCCCATTTCACCATTTTTACTCAGTGTTGTAGACCTTAGTGTTGACGAGATAACTCGAGGTTGTTGACAAGTTAACTTGAGATTGTAGAGGAGTTCACTTGAGATTGTAGATCAGTTAACTCAGTTTGTTGACAAGTTGACTGTTGACATGTAGACGAGTTGACTGAACACCCTAGACATACCCTACAACACAACTGCATACAGAACTATCATGATCTACCTTAGATTTACAAAAATTTCATTGAACAACATAAGATAGGACACTCTATGAGAAATAATGTTTTAGCTGTATGATTACATATTCAATTTCATTTGTGAATATGACATCAAGATTCGGTTGTTAAAAGCGTAATTCCACAGAATTAAAATTAATAGAAATCAAATCGAATAGGCTAATAACTAATAAGTTTAAAAAAAAAAAAAGGGGGAAGATCGACTCACCTCTATTGGAATGACCAGAGCTTGAATTTCCCATTGTGCCTTCTTTATCACTCTAAGCCTAATAATAAACTGAATTAGATCTCATATTGTTCATTTTCTTTAATAAATTGGCCTTTTATTCTGATATTTCCTTTAAAATTTTTCCATTTCCGGATAATGGATGTTGTGGAAAAATTTTAATAAAAAGATGCTGCCATCATTGACAAAAACTAATTCTTTTAAATCAAAAAATATTGCTGCTTATATGCATGAATTAATCTATTATCAAATTCAAGATATTTGTAAATAATTTTCTATCAAATCTTAATCAATCAAGGCTTTTAAATCAAAATCTCAATACTTAAGATTGTTGTATGATATAAGCGGTTTTAGAAGGCCGACAACTCCATTATGTTGTAAACAAATCAAGGTTCAACCAAGCACCTGAGAAAAAAATTCATATTCAAAGGTAACCCAAGGTATACTTTATGTAGAGATGAAGTAATGAAACAAATAGAGGGGCTTTTTTGCACTTCAAAGCAAATAAAGGGCAGAGCCCCAACATTGGCGTTTCCGAAATAAGCTGGCTTATGTTAATGTTTATCATCATCATGGTAATGACATGTAGCCTATATCTAACTTGTAAGGAAATCATAGTATTCTTACTGTTTTTCACTGATCTTTGGTCTGTTGTAAGCTCGAAAGCTTCTAGACCACCTCAAAGAGTGACTTGTTTATAGTAATAAGTGCGTCTGCGTATTGTAGGAGTGTTTGGTCGGTTAATTTTGACTGGGATTCAATTGACTTGATAGGTAGGCTACTGGGTGTAAATTTGATAGGGTCAGATTACCAGGCTGTGTTCAGGTTGGACTTGAATTGATTGAGGGATCCAGATCTTATGACATAGTCTGGCAGGGAGGTCCATGAGTTGATTACTCTGATTGAGAAAAAGTTCTTTCTTATTTCCAGTCTTGAGTGGGGTTTAGCTAGCTTTTTAGTGTTTCCAATTGTAATTAATCTTGTAACAAGGTGTAGCATGTCCTTACTGGCGATTTGATCTATTCCTAATAAAAAATCGACTTCTCTCAAACATTAAGCTGCTCTTCCACCTCGGTAGGTAGCTGAAAAACCATGCAACGGTTTCCAAACAGTGACTTGTACAGTGGCTGTGGAATGCGACGGCAGGATGCTGGTCTATATTATCATGGATTTTGAAATGTTATTTTTCAGATGGATCCAGTGGCGTTATGTATTATATTTACCACTTCATTGGTACTTTTTATTGCTAGTATTGTTTATGTAAGGTTGAATTTTGGAAGATGTTTTAGTAAGGCTGATTTGTCAGACAAAACAGTCATTATTACTGGGGCCAATACAGGTAACTATTTAATAATTCTTTACAGCAAGAACAAACTTTTTTATGCCTATTTACTCGAAACATGTATATTACTTTCAATTCCCGTAAAATAGGTAGTTTGATCAGGGAAAATATTTGGTGTTTGGTTGTGTTCTAGAATATTAACAATATTGAATAGGAGCGACTAGTTTCTGAACATACCAGGTTGGTTTTTGTTGAATTGCAGAGGGATCACATGTCGAAATTTGATTCTGTATCATACTCAGCTCAGTTGAAATGATATATCCCTAATAATTATGCCTATATTAGAAACAATTAGAAATTCTTTCCATTTTTTAGGAATTGGATACTATACAGCATTAGATATGGCCAATAGAAATGCTAGAGTAATATTGGCATGTAGAAATTTAGAAAAAGCTGAACATGCTAAGAAGAATATAATTGAAGAAACAGATAATGATAATGTTATTGTTAAAGAACTTGACCTTAGTTCTATGAAATCAGTAAGAAAGTTTGCTAATGAAATAATTAAAGAAGAAAAAAGATTGGATATATTGATTAATAATGCTGGAGTAGTAGGTATGCATTCTTAAAACTTTTAGAACTATTATGCTGTAAATTGAGTTGGCTAGTAAAGTGTACTGTAGAGAAATTTTCTAGCCTCTGTTAAGTAAACCTAGCTCTTGTTTTGAGCTTAATAAGGGATTTTTGTTAAAAACTCTGAAATAAGTATAAGAGATATTTCCTAAACTTGGTTTTTATTATGATTTAATCTGTACATTAGTTTTCCAACACCAACCATAAGAAAGATTTACACAACTCTTTTAAATAGTTTTGTTGTTTTAAAAGTGAACAGGAAAATTTTTTTCAGTTAAAATTTTCATATAAATAAGGGACACATTTCTTTTCAAGAAGGAAACATGACCCAGAGTTGAAACATTTTAAATTTGTTAGAGAATGTAAATTGTTGCCAAATGAAATAATATCTATGATGAAACATTTTGGACAGGATATTTAATGTAACAGATTAAGAAAATAAATATTTCAAATATAATATTCTTAGTATCATTTTTTTCTTATTCTAGGACTGCCAAAAATAATAACAGAAGATGGATTAGAAAGTATGTTTGCTACCAACCACTTTGGACCATTTCTCTTGACAAATTTATTGTTGGGTAAGTATGGTCTCTTCTCAAGAATGTCAAGGTAATATTTTTACATTCTTTTCAATGAGACAATACTTCCAACAATAATGATTCCAGTGTTTCAGCAGACCATATTCCACACTGATCTTACTACTTGGATCACATTAGCAATGCCTCATGACTAATCCTATTGTTTGTGATTCTTCAAAGTTAATGGACCAATCAGGTATGACGAGAGAGTATCATCTGATATTTGATATATCAGTGAATTGAGAATATATGATCAGACTAAAATTTTTGTCATACTTGTATGTAACAAATAAATAGGAATTACAGATTTCCTAGGGGCCTTGGGCTGAGAGCTGGAATAAGAATTGTTAATAACAATATAAAACAATTCATACAATATGAGTCTCATATTCTCATTCACATCAATAAATGCAGAAATACTATAATATCAACTGATTTTACAGTGTGTTGTCTTTGAACAGATTTAATCAAGAAATCCTGTCCCAGTAGAATAGTCAATGTATCATCTATAGCTAGTAAAATGGGAAGAATTGAATTAGATAATTTGAGAAGTGAAAAATACTTTAATCAACGTAGAATATATTTTGATAGTAAATTAGCAAATATTTTATTTACTAAAGAATTGGCAAGAAGATTAAAAGGCCATGGTAAGTGATCTAATAGAAATGTCTTTGCTTAACCAGCTTATTTCAAGCAACCATCTTTTGGGAATTAAAATCTTACTCTGGTCTGGTTCTCCTGCAATTCAGTTTAGAAAGACCTATGCAGGCTTAACATGACCACATGCAGTGATAATGGACCCTTTTCATTCATTTGGAAAAACAAAATAAGTGTGCACTTAAAAGCTTTTTAAATCCAGTGGCATACTAATACACCAAATGTGATTTACTGAAATCATGACACTTAATTAAGCATTGATTAATTATAATGATGTTATTATATATAACAGGCTATTTTTATATGATTTTAGATGTACTAGTGAATTGTTTACATCCTGGCACAATACAAACGGAATTATTACGTAATCTTTCTCCATTCATTACATATCCTCTCATGTTTATTGGTAAATTCTTCTTCAAGGTAAGAGAAAACGTGTAATATATATCTTTTAAGGGCTCTGCTCACTCTTCTAGTCTTTCGGATTTTGAAAAATTCCTTTCCTTTTTAAATCAAGGCAGTTGATATTTTTGTCAAAATATGTATCGGCTGATAACAAATAAAAACCTGATTTTTATATGCTAATATATAATGTGGAGAGTATATTGATATCAACCCTGTCCTTCTGTCATGCTATTGCTCCTAAACAGAGGACTCAATTTTGGACCGATTGTAAGTGTTTATTATCACCCAAGGATGAACCCTATCGAAAATCAGAAAAATCAAAAAAAGTTATTATATTATGGCCCTTTTTCTCAAAAACACATTCAAATTTTAGTTTGTAAACTCTCTAGAAGGCACAATTCTTAATGGTTTTGACAAAACTTGTTGAAGTGGTTTATTATCACCCAAGGATGAACCCTATAAAATATCATCAAAAAAATCAAAAAATATTAAGTATGAATTATGACTGCATTTATTAGCTTGCAAACACACAAGAAGTCACAATTTTTGACATCTTTAGATGAAACTTTATTTATTTTCACCCCAAAGAGTTCTTAAGAAGTGTATGTCTGAAGGTTGAATATTTCATACTGGTGACTGATGATTGTTACTATACTGTCAAATATATGTATTCAATATCTAAGTTGCCAGTGGGCGTTTATTACCTTGATTATAATGTAGACAAACAACATCAAAATTGTTAAGGCACAATAGAATCTAGAGTTTTTATCTAATTCAAATGACTTAATATCCTTTATGTGGATTGAATGGATATCAGACATTTTTGGCAATATTTTTAGGGTATGTTTTTTTAATTAATGAGATCTCAAAATAATATCAAATATAATAATGGTAAATGATAGCACAACATAAAAGAATAATAAACATCACAACATATTATAATGATAAATGATATCAAAAGATGTTATTGTGATAAATGATATAAAAAAAATATAATAAATATAAGAAAATATAATTATTTCAAAAAATATAATTATGATACATAATATCAAAAAATATAATTTTGATACAAAATATGTTTATGATATCAAATAATATAATTATGACATCAATTAATATAATCATGATATCAATTAATATATTTATGATACACGGATATCACAATTATCATAATGATAAATAAGATCACAAATATCATTATAATAATAAATGATGTCACAAATTATCATGAAGATAAATGATAAAATGATACCAACAAAATACTGTAATAAATTATATAAAAAAATAAAGTAATAATGAGTTTTAATTAAAAACAAATATATTGTAAATAATTGTTATTTTTATTTGATTATAAAGAACTGTGAAGAAGGAGCCCAGACAACCATTTACTGTGCAATTAGTGAAGAGATAGAAGATGTTACAGGAAAATATTTTACAGATTGCTATGTTGATGAACAGTCATTGAATAAGTTAGCACATGATGAAACTTTAACCACACAGTTATGGGATATCAGTGAGAAATACACTGGATTATCTCAGTGAATGTAAGAATGATTTCATTATAATTTGCATCCTGATTTTCATTTAATTTTAAACGGGTAGTTCTTGTTATATGACTTTTGATCTGCCCTCTTTTAACCATGTTTTGCAATCCTTTTCTATATGAATAAAATATTGTTTACAAAAAAAAACAAAACATGTTTTCTTATTTTGAGAATGAGTATTTCTACTGAAAATATGCCACTACTTGTAAAATGTTATTTACGAATATTAAAAACTATCTTTTAAGCCAATGATGACAATGTAAGGGGTGTAACCAGACTTAATTATATTAAGATAGTGGACCACAGCCATATACGCCCACCACAGCATGCGGATGGACAGGGGTGTCGACAATATACGTCCACATAGAGAGATATGGGCGTATAAAAATATGACCAATACAACTCTCTGACTGATTATATATTAATTGAGTTTTAATTGAGTTAAATTTAAGACCTATCACAAACACAAGACAATATCATGGCATTAGCATGAAATATTTTATTTAAGAAGTGTGCTTAAATATTCCACAATATTCTCTTGTTTGTGATATGTAATCCTTACTTCTAAATATGTCGTTCAAGCCTTATATCAATTTAAGACAAACCTATAATGAAAGGTTCTACTTAATGATGTATTAATACAGTTGTATTTGATATAAATTACATTATATTTACTGTTAAAGGAATACTTCCTCTTAGAATGGACACAAATTTAAAGTCTAAAATTGAGTCAACAAGTTTATACATTCATCAGCTGGACTCACCAGGTGCCAAGACCAAAAAAATGGAATCTCTATATAGACAACGATATATCCATTAAACTAAATAATTATTGAAACACACATTTTAGCATGTTTCATAATTATTAAGTTTGAGGGATTATTACTAAGTTTTATTGATTTAATGGATTATAGAGGGATTCTGTTGTCTAGTTATGACACCAGATGATTTCACTATGTAAAAAGTTTAAACAATTTGTTATTCAACCGAAGAAGAAGTATACTGAATACATCAGGCTGATATTATGTAAAGCTGATATTATGTAAGTAAAACATTATTATTGGTTCTATTTTACCTTGATATGCAAATGTCTGTATATAACAAATTTATTTAAGTCTGATTTAATTGTGTTCTGCCTGAATTACTATTACTTTTAATTTGATTATCTATTGTAGCACATAGAATTAAAAGAAAAAAAAAGACTCGTCTTTAATTATGATTAACTAAATGTAATTAAGGTTTACAATAATTGTATTCTCCTTAAATTTATTTTCATTAGGTGCATATAGACTTTTAAGTTATGAATATTTTTAACTGAATAAACTTTTTTCACTGAATATATATTCTGTTACATTGTGCGCCCACAAGGAAATGTTTAAATTCCAAATTAAAATGAGATTTGAAAACAACCAAACATGAAGATGATTAAAAGGTAATCTCAGTTGTAAAAAAAACTCTGATTCTTTTGACAGGATGAAGATACGAGGCTTTAAAGAATAAAACTTCTGTCACAATATACCATTTATTCCTCCAATGTATCAGGTTTCCAAAACCAACACAATTCAAAAAAATTAACAGTCATTATATCAAAGAGTAATTTATGAGTTATTGCCCTTGTTCTTGACAAACTTGGTAATATTGTTCATTATCCTGCAAAAAAAAACCCCAAAAAACAGTTTGAAATAAATTTGTAACTAAAGGTTGAAATTTTCATACTGGTACAATTACCCTAACTTTATTAATGCTTTACGCCTTTAGCAACATAAAGACATGAAAGACTGGCCAATACTTAGTCTCTGGACAAAAATTCAATGTTCATGACTGTAGCAGGAGAGCAAGGGCTTCTAAATCCAAGGAAGAAGGTGGCACTGAAAATGCAAGGAACTGCTCCGGCACAACTCAAACCCTCTTCCAAACCAGTGGTCGTTTAAAAAAAAAAATCCCGTATCTCACAAAACTTCCAAGCCAAAAATTCAAACTCTGGTCCGAAGAGTATAAATTTCCAAGCCTAATGAGTTCTTAGTATAACTCTATGGTCTGTCCACAATATCTGCTAAACAGTTAGGCCTGCTTAAAATTTACGAGCGGAGCCTAATAAACTCCTATAGTCCATTTAGAGATAACCTACCCTGTGCAACGCACCGACTCACTGAATACCAATTTTTAAGCCAGAGCTTTTATACCCTACGATCTTGCACACTGCACGTGAAAACCGACACGGCTATTTTTAGACATTAGCGTGATTCCGGTTGTGTCGGTTTGCACGTGCAGTGTGCAAGATCGTAGGGTAGCCTATCTTCCCACTAATACATCTTCTACTACCAGTCCAAACATTTCTCCCACTACTAGTCCCCCCACATGAAGGGATATAGACTCTCATTATGGCTGTGATGCCAATTCAGATTTTAACCTGTAATTGGTATCATATAACAACACTAAAGGAATTTGTGGTCCTGGACCAGTAACTCTTGCACTCAGGTTCAAGTTCCAAGAGGTTGGATTTGTGAACTCAGGATCAACCCACACTTGTATATACGTTGAAATATTATTCAATTAGAATTGATGGATTATTACAATGGTAATTGATATTTAATAACAAATTTGGTGGTTTATAACAATTGTGGTGATTGGCCTGCCATTATTAATTTCGGCGGTCAAATTGTGGTGGTACTATATAACTGGACAATTTATGAAATAAAATATATATTTCATCAGCTGTGCCATATTATTGCCAAATAATAATCAATTCATATTATTTCTTGTTATTTCAAAGTTTTGCTTTGTTCCCATGAAATGCTAAAAAGATCTGTTGCATTGAAACTTTGAACTTAATCTTCTCCAAAACCACTCTTTTGGATATAGGACAGTCTGGTTCTCGGTGACGATGTGATAAGACATTTTAATTATTCCACATTGCTGATTGGCTGTCATGCAGAGCCAGTCGTCCACATTAAGTTAGAGATTTTATTTTTACTATTTAAAATTACGTGTATAAATTTTACGAAACTTTTCAATAGTTGAGCTTCTATGCTTAAGTCTTAGCATGGTGAAGATATCTACTATAGTGAGAATATTCTACACTCTTCTAATTGATTTTCTCCATACAATAAAATCTTTCAATACATGTAGTTTTGTGAGAAAAGCAATTAAGTAGTTGACATCCATATAAAGGCATGTAGTAAGTCCTGAACAGTTTATACTTAACATCGAAATAAGCAAATTGAAATTGCTTAAGAGTAAATCTTGAAAAAATATTAATGCATCTGTTAATTTGAATATCGTTTGTGTCATATATGCTAATGTGTTACCCATGTGCAATTCAGATTTGACTAATTTAATTGGTTTATCATTAAATATTACATCTTTAAAGTTTTTATAATCACATTTTCTGTCATAATTCATCAATAACTTTTGTCTGCATTAAAGAGTACACCATATTCTGGATTTTATTGAAAAACATATATCTTCGTTAAAATTAATTTTAAAGCTTGTCTAGAAGGTGCCAACAATGTCACATAATCGGCATAGGCTAGAGCTCCTGTATACATATAGGCCCTATTAGACCTAAACATTTGTCTCTAGTCCAGCCTCTGATATAGCTATTTGGACAGATATCGGCTAGTGTGGACACAGAAAAAATAGGCCCTGTTAAATGAGAGCATCGCAGTTGCGGGGGTTTTAAACCTATTTAGATACCCGTTCTGCAAAGGCAAGATATATTTAGAAAGATGAATATTTTTGTAGTCCAGTCATAGCCATACCATCATTTTCTATGTTACGTCTCCAGTTCCATCAAATAACAAAACTGATCTCGCATCGGCCGGTTAAAACTGAGTGCGCAGCCAAAAGGACAAAGTAGCAAAACGGAGGTCACGGTAATGTTCAAATTTAATATTTTGTTAGAAGATAGTTTGCAAGGCAATGTAACATATGCCCACTATCAGCTGTCAGAAATGATAACAAAGTCTGTTGTGGTTTAATATGTGAAACCAATTATCCTATTTTTACTAATTTCAAGCTTAACTCAGGTCTCATACCAAGTTTCATCAAAAAACGAACAAAAAATGTAGTCTCTATCAGGCCTACAAGCCAAATAAGACGCATTGAATTAATTCAAGGGCCATAACTCCAAAACCATTCATCCAATTATTACCATTTCCACATGGGCGTAAAAAATAACGCATCTCTGCAGGTGTGGAAAATCTTCATTTAACAGCGCCTTTTTCTTCTGACTCTACTCTAAGCGACAACTGTCAAAATATCCATCAGAGGCTGGAATAGAGGTAGATATTTCGGACTAATGCCCTATGTAGCACCAGTGGTCAGATCGGTTTTGGCACCCAATACCAATCTGTCTGAGCATAGAACTGTAGTTCTATGGTCTGAGCTTGGTTAATAACTCATCAAAAATATAGGGGAGAGTAGGGCTACTCCAAAGACCATTTGAAACATTAAAGAAAGCCGAGGTGCATCTAATTCTGATTTTATGATTTGTATGCATGATGTGATTGAACATGATTGATATATGATGTGATCAATATGTAAGCCTATGTATGTTGAGAAATATTAGAACAGAACTTGAATCATGTTGTTACTCAGAGTTTCACGCTATGCGATCCTCAGATATCGCTCTGCAATTGATGTATTCAGCACTATTTTAACAGTGGAAACATTTTATTATCGCGTGTATGTTTATATTTTTGATAGAAATCAGCTATATAATTTCAAACATATGAATGTTACTATTGATAATAAATTTTTTTTCAGCTTCTTTTTGTAAATTTCAATTATTGTTTTATGTATTTTCATATATAGGTCTTGCATCAAATGTTAGAATTGATTAGGCTACTTATGTTAATTTTGATACCAAGCTTATGTCTGTGTTATATTTTGAAACCCTGAAAACTTCTCAACATGTATTATATTTACATTATTGGGAATAACCCAACCTCGCCAATGAATCTTGGGTCTCACAATAAACAAGATACTTTGTAACGTTATAAAGAGTTTATCGTGACAAAAAAAAAAATACAGAAAAAATCCCATATCGCCCAACTCTATTTCAAGGAACTGAATAGTATCAACGCACCAAAACGCTCAACAAGATCATCGGGAGAGTTAGACTAGTCATTCCGTCTCAAAAGACGAATACAACATACGGAGACTTTTATCCACAGTGCACCAAAGGCATGGAATGAATTATGTTTCATCAATATATATGTATAATAATTATTGCAGTTTTTTTTAAACTGTTTTCTTTTCAACTACCATTTTAATGTTTTTTACTATAATCATATCTTATTAAAATCTGTTTAGTATATTTGTTTTCTTTATCAAATTGTATTATTGTATGCTGTCCTCTATAGCACGTAATGATTCAATAAAATATCTATATTTCTATCTATGTTCCAAAAATGTTTTTAGTTTAGAGCAGTTAAATGGCCGGGTAATACTAAACCAATAGGTAAGAAGCAGCCAATCATATTGCTGTAGTGAACACGCATGCATGCGTTATGATAAATGAATAAATTAACTACAGATTTAAAAAGACAGGTCATCGCTATATTATAACAAGTAACAGGCTCAAAGGTCAGATAAAGCATTCCTATAGAATTAAAACAATTGATCTAACTAGTGCCCAAAGGCGTTCATTGATTCGCGGTGCCTCAGAAAGTAAGACATCGATATGAAAGTAGGCTAATAAAGCTGTCCTGGCAAAATCTCATTCATTAGTCTATTAATTGCTTTTTATTTAAAAGCAGTTTAAGGGTCATTAGTAATAAACCGATAGAAAAGCAACAGCCAATCCAACTGTTGTGGTAATGGTAGCAGCGCGTAACGATAATGATGACTTCAATTATGTTATTAAAAAGGAAGGGGTATGCATTGTTTACGCAATGATACAGTATAAGAAATAAATTAAATTGAATAGCAATTCGACATATTTCACAAGTAAAGGCTTGAAATTTGAAAACTGAGCATAACTTATAAACCTAAAGAAGCGTGTGAAATTTCCACTATCTGAGTTGCCTTGTGTTCTGGATTTTTCCACGAGTCAAAAAGGCGTTTGAAACTTGACACTTGCGCTTGTTTCAAGTTTTACAAACAGGAAAAAATATTAAAAATTGAATAGAGCCGAATGGTTAACGCGCTTCAGCAATGTTTACCATTCTGATATACGTAATCATATCGGCTGTGATGTATGGTTTTTAAAATATGAGGATCGGCTGTTAGTATCACTAGTTACACTATACATGCTTCACACAATATGAAAATGGTGTTTATAGATAATCAGATAACAGAGATATCTCTCATACTTCAAGATGCGATAAAACATTAAGTTTTTCTTATAATCTTTCACTTTCTATAACAACCTGATGACTATATACATGTATATTATCTTTCTTGTTAGGAGATTTTGAACAGCATTTACCCGTTAACCTCGGTTTATACGTTGGTAAACATGGAACATAAGAACAACATTTGATTTTTGCCAGATACTTTCCTACTAAGGGCAAGTCATAGGTATCGTGTTGAGAATCTGTAAAATGGTCGCTTTCTTCTTTAATTCTCCATTTTATTACTCCCCTCTCTTCGTCTGTACCTAAATTTAAAAATAAATGTTATCCGCTGCATAAATATATTGTTAAGGTACCTATCTCGATGCAGAAAAAAACACCCCATTATCAAATAGGAAAGACGCGGTGGATTTGTGGATTAAGTGGATTAATCATGAATATTTACTGGTTGGTTGGATGGTAGATGACAAGTTAATGTTCGCTTCCAGCGGGTGCTGATATCGCAAACTAGGTAGTTGTTGGTAGTCGTAGTATAGTTGATATTTACAACTGAGACACAACCGTTTTTGTACGCCCAATGGCGTATTGCCTGTCCTAGTGGCATTTCTAGGGGGGTGAGGGGTGAGGGGCATTGTTTGTAGATGAACCTTACTGCAAATCCGAAAAATCCCCAAAATATTTAGTATAAGTTATTGCCCTTGTTCTTGAAAACGCGTTCAATCAATTTTAGCTCGTAAAGAAGGCACAGCTTGTAATCAACCAAGTATAAACCCTATTGACAATTCTTGTCAGATTTTGACAACATGGTCATAGTATTGAATATTTTCGATTTGAATCTGCATGTTTTGGATCCGGACATAGTTTTAAGACAAAGTAATATGCTTTGGATGGATGTCTCGAGGTGTCTCTATGTCTCTATTGTTCATTCTAATTGGAATTCTATCTTTATGGTTCTAAGAGTTTGATTGATGAAAATAAAGAATTGTACTGTACATACCCGGCACTAGATTATCTAACATGAATCCAATAATACCACCAACAAATGATGCTGTACCCAATAACACTCTTATAACTTGGTTTAACTCAACAGAACCTGACATATATCATTTAAATAACGCTTTAGTCATATATGAATTCTAGATTCTAGAGTAAAATATTCCATAATCCATCTACATCCAAAATGTTGCTATTGTATTTAGTATTTATATTGTACTTTTAAGGGCGGAGAACAAATAGATTAATTCTATCTAGGATCAACATTCTCAGTGGTCTGTTTCATGAACAACTATACAATATACTGTTACCTGTATCCAGTGTCAACGTCTGAGAAGATAACCACTGTGGTAAACAAAGTCCAACCATGAAGGATGTAGCCAAAATTGTCAAGTTACGAGCAGAAGACATATCGACATACTGTAACGTTGACAAACCCACCGAAGTTACCAGTCCAAGAAGAACTGCACTTAGACCACCTAATATTGGTTCTGGTATAAGAGTTACTATTGCACCTATTTTACCTATAACACCCACAATTACTAAGAAAACACCAGCTGTTACAAACACTCGCCTACTTGCTACCTTTAAAATAACATATCACAAATCATTAGGTTTCTGTATTTTCAGGTTTTATCAGTTATAGAGCTTATTTAATTAAGCCTAACCTTACTTCAATGAAAACCTTGACCAATGTCCACAATATTTTTCTAGAAATAAACCGAAAAGGATGCTACCTAAAATGCATATTTCTCAAAAGTCGTTCAGCATAACGACAACAATTGTGGAAACTCTAGGTTTGACAGCTTTTAGGACCATAATTCAAAAATAATAAAATAGGCTAATAAACTTCAAACTTGTGCGAGGTTTAATCAATTCACAAAAATTACTTCTAATTTCATTTACATGTAGAGTTTGAAAGAAAAATTTAGTTTGCCGTCCGCTCTTTAAATGATTTACTATTCTCACGTAGTTCGAAGTGTAATGAATTTTACTTGAACATTATCCTGATTTTGCCAATGATATTTTCATTCTATAGCCAGTTGTTCAGTGCGAAATGATTATGAATTCAATGGCCCAATCTGGCGCAAAACAGACTTTTGTATTAATTTTTTGTACCTACCCCGGTTACAGCTATAGCACCAATACAACTACTGTAGGATGTTGTTGCATGACCAGCACCAAGAAGTCCAGATATAATACTGCTGACACCCTCTATTAATATACCCCTATTGACTGCATGTGCGGGTGGAGGTGGTACTTGTGAAATACGAGCAGCCGCATAGTAATCACCAACAGATTCTATAATTGATGCTATTACAGCTGCGAACATGCCGACAAAACCAGCTCCACTGATAGTAGGCACTCCAAATTGAACTGAATACAAAAATATTTTTATATCGGACTAGCCTACTTTTTGAATTTTGACATAACGCGAATACCCATCTATCGATCTAAGACAATAAATATTAACTTTAGGGTTTATCTTAAATATGATCGTCTTTTTGAAAGTAAACAAGTTGTTCACATGGTTATACTCTGTATAGTAACAATGCTCTGTGTGATTCGGGATCACTGCAACACTAATTGTGTCTGACCAAAGTAAAAAAAAGTTATGTTATATTTACATGGATATGGAAAGTAAAACCATGGTGAATCTTGTAAAACTTGTAAATGGGTATCAGTTCGAGCATAGTTAGTCACATTTTGAGTATTTGGGCTGAAAATATTTGTGACAGTAAATATGTAACAAAACAACCAGGCTATTCCTATGGCATATAAAATCTGAAAGAAATGAAAAAAAAGACAAATATACCACACTATTGCTGTACATATTGCTGACAATATTTGGTGTATATCCTTTACTTGCAATGACAAATTTGTTACAAAACAAAGACTTTACTTGAGGAAAAGCTTAAACTGCATTTATGAGTATAGGGTAAGAATATACGACCAACTATGCTCAACATGAATGCTAATATGCTTGAGAAAATTCCATGGTAAACAACACTTTGTCTATTTAAAAGCGAGCCTCGTCTGACGAGATATGTAAAATAGTTCTTACATACAGGTGCTATAAAAAATATCCGAATCTTTTGTCTGCGACATCCTTTATATCTAGTATAGACAGGAAACGGAACTTCCACTTTCTCCAAAAACAGACAAAATATGAGTACCAAACACAACGTTCTACAAGAATAAGTGTATGGTTCTCATGAGATCAGATTTAATTTATATAGTGGTGGAACAGAATTCCCATTATGAAGCAATGGTGGAACTGAAGCCCATCATGAAAATGAGATGTGACTGATACAATAGAGGAGCTGAAGTCCCTTCACGAAGATGAGATATGATTGAAACAAAGTTGGAGCCCCATATCATGAAGATGAGATATGACTGACACAATTGAGGACCCGAAGCCACATCATGATGATGAGATATGATTGAAACAATGGTGGAGCCCCATCATGATGATGAGATATGACCGATACAGTGGAGGACCTGAAGGTCTACCATGAAAATGAGATATGACTGATATAGTGGAGGAGATGAAGCCACATCATGAAGATGAGATATGACCGATACAGTGGAGGACCTGAAGGTCTACCATGAAGATGAGAAATGACTGATATAGTGGAGGAGCTGAAGCCACATCATGATGATGAGATATGACCGATACAGTAGAGGACCTGAAGGTCTACCATGAAGATGAGAAATGACCGATATAGCGGAGGACCTGAAGGTCTACCATGAAGATGAGAAATGATTGATATAGTGGAGGAGATGAAGCCACATCATGATGATGAGATATGATTGAAACAATGGTGGAGCCCCATCATGAAGATGAGATATGACCGATATAGTGGAGGACCTGAAGGTCTACCATGAAAATGAGATATGACTGATATAGTGGAGGAGATGAAGCCACATCATGATGATGAGATATGATTGAAACAATGGTGGAGCCCCATCATAAAGATGAGATAGGACTGATACAGTTGAGGAACTGAAGTCCCATAATGAAGCTGAGATATGGCTGATTCAATGGAGGATCTGAAGCCCCATCATGAAGATGAGATAATCATTCAGTGGCATGTTGGCTCCAAATTTGCTGAAGGGGCAGAAATCGTTTTGGCGCCCCTAGATAACAGCGCCATTTGTACAATTCCATATAATATATATTATACTGAACAGATACAGAAACGTCGCATAGCACAGAAAATAGTGAATTGTTTATTCAAATTCAATAAAACAATAGATAATTTTCAGAAAACAACCACATTTGGCACAAAGGATTGTTTCAGCGTCTTTCAAGTTATTGCTATGACATATCAAAGTTTTTATCACGTGATCGTTACAGATGGAGGCTGAAGGAAATATCTGGTGTGTCCACATTGTGTGTTGATAACGGCCCCGCATCTTCTGTACATGGAGTGACACAAGCGATTTACAGACACCATTGGAATCTGAGCCCAGACTCTTTGGAAAGCTGCACTGAGGTCTGCTGCATTTCTTGGAAGCGGTTGGATCTGGTTTAGTAGTCTTGGATGTCATCCCACAAGTGACCTATTGGGTTTACTTTCGGGTTGAGTGGGGGGCATGGCATTACTCCGATGTTATGCTGTTGGAGGAAGGTTCTTCTGGCTATGGCAGCGTGTGGACGGGCTTTGTCATACTGGAAGGTGTGGTTTCGGCGTCTTGCAAAATGCGGTACATCATGAGGTCGGAGAACCTGGTCTATGTAACTGGCGGCTGTGACTACATGGCCTCTGTTCACCTCTTCTTCGCCACACTCATACTACTCTGAGATCTGCGGTGAAATGCAGTTATCATCTGAGATCACATGAATCCTCCACTGCTTATGTCGCCAATGTTGTCGGTGGTGGCCCACGCAAGACTAAGTGGACAGTCACCGGTGCTGCTGGTGATAATGTAACGAATCCGAAGTCTCTCAATACAGTTAAATGCATTGGTAATGACTTGAGCACGTTGTCCGACATTTAATCGTCCGATGGCTTGTTCACATTGTTGGGAGATCAGACTTGCCATGTCTTCACAGCAATTCTCAATAGGCGTCAGTTTGTTTTTATACAGAACTCTGGTACGTGTTGCACGTGCATTTCCATTTTCCTCCGCATCATTTACAACCTGTTCACATCGAAATCAGTTGAATGTCATAAACTGACCTTTTTAAAGTCTATAAATCATATTTATAAAGAAAAATAACAATTTTGATCGTGCACGACTTTGTCCAAAGAATCTAAAAATGCGACGTTTTTTATCTATTCAGTATAAATAAAACATTTAAACACATATGGTAGCTAATATAAATTATTTCTTAATAAAACATAGCGATTGAAAAAGTGTTTTGACAGCGTCTCCATATATGCGCAGTAAAAATGAAGTAGCCTACACGAAGTCAATAGATTGTATTAGTAACACGCCCACGGGAAAGCGATAGATCCCAATATGATAGTTTAAGTTTTTTATCATTGAAATTTTGTTAGGGTTTTTTTTTCACGTTTGCCGGCGCCCAAGCAAAACGAAACCCTACATCCCAACAACATCTTGACGAAACAATAGAAGCAGCTAACGAACTTCTCACATGGGGAAAGTATATCAATCATAAGTGAGGAAGAATTTCATAATGAATAGTGGTATTAGGGTATTTTGACCCGTTTCAGGGCAGAGAAGAAGACATATATTCTGTTGTAAAACACCCTCGGCCACTTCACCACGGATATTATTTGATACAGTGGAGCCCTTTCGTGAAGCTAAGATATAAATCGAAGCTCTCATATAAAATGGCTGACACGGTGGAGAAGCTGAATTGATGCCGCTGATGAACTGAAACCCGTCATTCAAAGGATACACAATTGATGCAGTAGATGCACTCCATCTCTAATGAGATTAGATTTTGTGGCAACTGAAGCTACATCATGAATATCGGAAATGATCGATGCAGAGAAACGGAAGCTCTATCTATGAGAAAGAACATGATAAAGGTAAGCAATACAATTCTGTCATGAAGTAAAGTAAATAGTTAAATAATTATTGTTGAGCTACAGTCCGCCCATGATGACAATACAAAGTGAAAGCAGTGGCTCAACTAGATGAGTGGAAGGGCGTGGAAGTCAAAACTGAATAATGGAATGAAACTTACAAGAAAGCTATACCCCAATTAAACTGTGAAAATTGAATGACAACGCCAGTTAATGACAATCCAATCAGTGCTATTGTTGGTGCTATAGTTAACGGTCCGATAAGAGGTACTATATAACCAATCAAGCCAGTTCCACCAACCAATATCTGTGCTACAGATGCTAGTATCAGGTTCCCTTGAATCTAAAAATATAAATGATTGAATCGGTGACAATATTTATATAATCAACAATTTATATAGGTCCAAGTTTGACTTAATGAACAGTAAAAGTGAAATTTAAAGAGGGGTTCTTTGATTGTTTGACGTAATTAATAACGTTCAGGATATGAAGTGATGATAGGTACATTTTGTTACATTGCAAGGTAACCGGACTTTGAATTTTATAATGAAAAGTGACCCTGGTGAATGAAATCGAACTGCATTTTGAGGTAAAAGTAAATATTAATAGGACGGAATATCTTTCAGAAATACTCATAAATTGTTATGTCTTTGTTTGTACAATGTTAAACCCAGATCAGATGAATGATGTTATGATATTTACCTCTCTTATTCTCACCATCCATGCTGCATCACCTTCAGTTGTATTTAACCCCACGAGTTCTGGAATATCGATCAAATTAATGTTAAAAAACGTTCTTCAAATCGCGTCAAAATAATTATTTGTATAAGGCCTGATAAAGTGGTTGGTATCCAATAACGGTTACAACCAAAATCTTGATAGTCGAAACGGTAACAGATTAATCAAATTGGCAACACAAAATTGGTTAAAACGGTAACAGATCTGCCAAAACGGTAACAAGACAATTTGGATAAAACGGTAACATGTCAAGCTAACGATCTGCATTTTAAAATTATTTTCTTTTCTTAATTTAAATTAATATCTACATGTATAGGTCGTATGTTGTTAATTCCTTTGAAAATGGACAAATCACGACAATTGACTACGGTATCGAATATGGAAAGTAATGTTTTTTAGTTTTACATCTTTTGTTTCTAATATATTAAGATTAGGGGACTACAAAAAGATAAGATAGCGTTCATTGTCACTCTATTGATTATATGTATTGAAAAAAGAGGTTATGTTGTTATAAATAGATAGTATCACAGCAGATGTTCTGTGAGGTAAAATGCTGAAATGCATGACATATCTTGGCAGTGAGGCAGAGAGAAAGTTTCTGCTCCGTTATGCGAAAAAAAGAATTATCAAGATCAAATGGTGAATTTACAATACCACGATCAGACGTTATACTGCACTACAAAATAATCTCCACCTTGTACACGAAGTAAATATTGAAATGGTATAAAGTATAGACAGACCTTGATCTGGACATTTCCATTTGTCCAATGTCATCATAGCTAGTATTGGTGGTATAAATGTACCCGATCCACCTTGTATTATCGGCAGTCTGAAGATTAATTAATTAATTCCCAATATATAAAATTATGTATGATGTTGACCAACAAGAAATTCATTCTTTAATTTTATTTCGAAATCTTTACGGTAACTGCGTGTGACATTATTTCGACTGAAGGTAAATTCCTTTCCAAGATAAGGATCTTATTTCTAAATATAAGTCTATAGCCCAGAGCTTAATTACCTTGTGCCAATTATATCTTGCATGATGGTCGCTAAACCGCACATAAAGAAACTGGTGCTTAGTAGCTTTGCTCGAACACTTGGTAATTCCGCAGCACATATTGTTGAGGCAATCAAAAAAGGTACAGATAATGTGCCTGATATGCATATTATTGTTTGCTGGAAAGAAAATAATCAAAACGTAACCGTTATTACACGCCCACTTCTCTATGTGGTACCATTTTCCTTCTATAATTTTTTAGGAGTGACTTGGCTTGTGAAAGTGATAGAGACTAGGAATCTACAGTTTTGTGCCAATAGGGGATCTTTGTTTGTGGACACTTGAATATAGTAAAATCCAACATGATTATTTTCATGTTATTAAATTGGTTTAAAGATTTCTTGATACAGACGTGGAGTGACACGTAAAGTTTACACTTGTGATTAGTTAACGTAATACAGTTATAGTATTTGTTAGGTTTAATAACATTTATATTTACCTGAAGTGCATATATAGGTAATAGATAAAAAGGTGGATTATCCTCTATACCATATATAACATGCCCTTTTCCTTCACTATCTTCTTTATCATTATCTTCACATTGTCTTTCTATTTTATTATCCATTGTCTACAGTTGAATGTTAGGATACTAGATTGAATTCAAGTTATCTTTCCAGCTACACATTCAATATTCTATTAAATATTCAATTTGATATATAATATAGTAATCTTGAATAACATCACGTCAATATTGTCACAGAGTCAACAAACAAGGGTCCGACTAAAAAGCGCAAACAAGATCAAACAAGCGCAAACAAGCGCAAACAAGCGTAAACAAAGCGCAAACAAGTGTACACAAAGCGTACACAAAGCGAATATAGCAAGCCCCCCACTACCTGTAGTCCCTGCAACAAACCCAGTAGCCCCACCTTGGTCTTTGGAAGCGGTCCTATCTGATATATATGTTAAACTTCAAAAACTAAACACTCAATTACAGACTACATGCCATTGGGACGAAATTCGCATGGATGGAGTCAAATATGAATGAACTTGACGTGAAGCTAAGATACATTCCGATAAATTAAGTAACATGGACTTCGACCACACGATCGTTGAAAAAAATGAAATGAAATGAAAGGAGTTTTACGTCCTACTTTTCTGCACCATGTGGGCTAATGAAGACGGGCAACGCCATGCAGAGTGCGAGGAGGGAAATTTTGCCAGGACAGTGGCATTAGCCTGCTCTTTTTCGATTTCCAACTGTCGGGGCCTCGGTTTATTGTCCCATCCGAACGACTAGACGCTTTTTCCATGTCAGCCCCACTACCTGCATCACTGACAGGGGGAAACCGGATTGAAAAATCCAAAGGTATTATCTCGACCTATGCCGGGATTGAACCCTGGACCTTCAGGTTAGCGAGCAAGCGTCTAACTCACTGATCCACCGCGGCTCCCACGATCGTTGAAGAAAGGATCTCAGCTACTGAAAATGATAGGGACAATGTGCTGGCAGAGAGTGCCAAATTTGTTAAAAAATGATGATAACTTTAAACTTGAAGTGAACCATAGATTGAAAAAAACGTTCTGATGGAAATTCAAGCATTATTATCGCAATATTTGAAAGGCGAAAAGATAGAGACCATGTTTGCGTGTTGCAAGGCGGCTACTCAGGGAAAGCCCCTTCTCTGTATTTGAGCAGCTCCACGGGAAATACGTGAGCGTCGACGTGTCCTAATAACTGAAGTTGAAAGAAGATAGAGATATAGGTGATAAAGCCCAATTAAAACTGGACAAAAAATAGGACATAAACGAACAAAACCAAGCCGGATTCCCGAAATGCTTTTCCACTCATGAGCACATATTTACCCTGCATGCACTGATTGATCTATACTTACATCATAAAAAAACGAGTTTACTGAGCATTCTTTTACTATAGAAAATGTTTCGATATCCTAGATAGAGCTACTATATTTAATAAGCTTATAGCCAATGGAATAAATGGTAAGCCCAATTAAAACTGGACAAAAAATAGGACATAAACGACAAGGCAATTCCTTATTGCCCACAATCCACAAATACGAAACACAAATAGGGAGGACTATACATGGTATATGTATCCTGGTGAAGGAAATGTTAAACTACTTAATGAATCACAAATCCAATCTGAGACATTTTTATGGATGGTAGTGTAAATAAATGTATCCTTGGTTCCGTTTATATCCCCCACGAAGGCCCTATTTATCATAAAACATTTGATAAATTATTTGAAGATATATCACGATTTTAGGCAATATACAAACAACCTGTTTTAATAATAGGTGACTTTAATTCTAGCACAGGCGAAGCAACAGACATTTTACAGATACAAGGAAAGGTTGTTAATTCCTTTTCCTTTTTGAAGATGAATTATGTAATCCAAACTATGATAATAGTGTGCAATCTGGAAATATAAACTATAGATGCAACAAAGATAGGAACTTAAACAATAATGGATACAAACTGTAAGAGTTGTGCCGACCTGTAAATTTATTAATTGTAAGGGAGATATGGAAGCGGCACCGGATTTGGCGATTTCACATTAATGGAGATACAGGAACTATTGACTATAAAACCATACAGAAAGAATTAAGCATTGGTAACACACCCAATCAAAGCAATATTAATAACAACGCTTAACCTTTGCAATATTATTCTTGAATCAGCAAAATTGGCCGGCTTTGAAAGAAAATTGAACAATACACGTAAGCACCATGACCAAATATTTGGTTCAATAATGAATATCGAACTGCTAGACGCAATTACATGAAGAACAAATTAAAATTGAAAGAAGATAAGAGTTCTGTTGCAAAATGTGACACGAAAAGACTGCCAAATCCCAGTATTTCATGGATTTAAATTCTAAATTAAATACTTTAAGTAAAAGCGTAAAGATCGTCAATCTTATTGGAAATTTAATAAAAACTCCACCTATAACAAACAAATATATCCTT